TGTATATATATACAGTATATATATACAGTATATATATATATTTATATATTTATATATATTCTATTCATTTATTATTTATTTATTAATCTATCATAATACATCTAAGATCAATAACATCAATTATCATTAAACATGATCAAACATGCAGGTTGTACAATTCGTCTATTGAGAACTCTCCTCTCATTGGGCGCCCTCTCCAGTTCCTGTATGGTTGAATCATTTCAAAGTTAGCGAGGGTGCCTCCGTCGCGATTCCTATAAAGGCCAGCAATATGGCCGGGCTGGGTTGACTTTTTGATACAAGCAAATCATTTGATTTTAGTAGTACTCAATGGGAAGTTCATATGTACATCATCATCTATATTAAAACATTGTCATTGTCACTTTTACGGATTTGTAGCGTGTTTTAAGGTGCCTCGCACTTTTGGTACAATACGGCAGTTATACCATCCACCTCGCATGAAATGCGGTTGACCACCATAGTCACAAGGGTAGATGGCCTGCATGAATCGCATGCCTCGCTGACCCGTAGTTTGTCAATACCCGATTTATTTAGTATTACAATTGTATACACAAACATTCAAAAAATACTTCCTCAAATATCTACCCCTCAAAAACCTCCCTGAAATAAAGGATGGTATGGGAGGTAAGTAGGCAGCAACGATAAAAGTGATACACTTTAAAAAGGAAGAGCAAAACAAAAAAACTTTTTTTTTTTTTTGGATCTGATATATATGAAACATGTACGGTTTGCATTGTAGTAATACACAGATAGGCAGTTACAGTATCATTGTGAGGTTATGGGAAACACAGATAGGCATTACAGTATTATAATTTGAGATTATGGAAAAGTAAAATATTGTACTATAATAAGCACATTATTGGGCTTTAAAACACAATAGTTTAGTTTTGTTGGAGTGTTCGGTAGATTCATAGAACCTTCCACCTTATTTCTTAGTGTTTGATTTTAACTATTTTTTAAATATTTTGTATCAATAGTTGTATTAAAAACAAATTAAAAATACATACATTAGTTTTTAAATAAAAATGAAAATTATCTTTATTACAAAACACTATTCGTGGAAGTGTTATACATCGCATTATATTTTAAGTATAAAAAAAAGAAAATTATATTTCAATCGTTAAGATTTATGCCTTATTTTTCAGTCTCTCGTTGTCAATCCAGCAGTAGTGAGGCAGGAATCCTAAGGAGTCCCCACCCTGATGTCCACATACCCGAAGTGCCGCTTCTGGAGTATTTGATGGAAAAATTTCCTGAATATGGGGACAAAATAGCTGTGGTAAATATTCATGTATTTATTTTGTTTTTAATTGTTATTTTGTTGTCAGCATATGAGAGAAAAGCTGGCATTGTGGAGCTAATACGTGACTCAGACTCTATTAACTCATAAAGCTGGTTTTCCATTAGGCAAATTTATTCGCGCGAATGGAAAGCGTTGTTTCGCTTTCCGGGCTCTGAATGGTTGTGCATTTTTTTTCGCTTTGCAAAAAGTAGAAACAGTTCGAACTACCGATCTGGCTGAAGCGAAAACTCTGATTCGCGCAAATAAATTCGCCCAGTGGAAAACTGGCTTTCAAATCATAAAGAGATCTTTCTAGGGGAAAAGAAAGTTACAGCTACTCTATGCTTTGAGCACTTTGAGACTCTGGTGTAAGTCTTTTTAAAGTATAAAAAGATTGAGGAAAAAGGAAAATTATAGTCTCGTTTAGGTCTGAGAGTGCCATTTCCTGCCATCTGGAGGTGCCATAATTATAAATTTTCTTACCTCAGCCCCGACCATGGTTTGGCTGAGGTGGTATAGATTTGCCATCTGTCAAAATCCCTCCCTGGGCACCCTCTATCTCAAATTCCTGGATATACGCCACTGAGCATTATCTTGATTATATTAATTATTGAGGAACCTTAACCTACGTGTGCAATGATTTGGAGTTGTTGTATTCTCCAAATTTATGTTGTAGGTCAAAGAATTCACAATATTGTTGCAGATTTCAAAGCTTTCTTTATTGATGATACGATAATATTCATATGTATTGTCTACCTGTACTTTTATGTCAGTGTAACAACATTGTCTGTACTATTAACCGCTTATGTTGGAAATAATTTACTGGTATACTTGATGCTATTAGTTGGTGTAATGCAGTAGTGATCTGAAATTTTAGCTGGAGTTTCATTGATGATATTCAAGTCCACTGATGGGCTTGATGAATTACCCCACTTTGCTGTTGCATGACTTTGACCGGGGAAACTGAAAGCAGTGAAGCACAGTTCCTGTGATACAGCACTTCCTGGTTATTGATGTTTACCGTGATTCTATACAGTGACACACGGCATGATACTAAACAAGCTACTCAGATTATGTACTTTAAAATAATACTTATGTACTTACATCATTTGTGTCTGTTTGTTTTACTGATTTCTACTGAAGTACCTACTTGAATCCCATCTCAGTGTTTGTGTATTATTTGTAATTCTAAGATAGTCCAGGCAAGTCACTTTCTAAAGGTTATTATTGATTTATTTATTAATTTGCCTACATGAAATAACAATTATTTGCACTTTAGCGAGACTTTTTTTATATCTTGTTTTGAAAACTTATTTTTTTAAAGATCGTCAAAGGAGAGCGGAAAAAAAAAAAAAATTTTGTTGTCTTATTTAGCAAATACAGGTAGTTTTGCCAAAACATCCATAAAAATAAAATTAAAATGTTATTGGTGAATGTAAACAGTGTAGTAATGGGATGGTTAAATGCTTTAAATTTACATAAGGAAAAAATACACATTTTATTTTTGAAGATTTTAAGGCAGGGTGGGTGTAATAGAAATAAAGAAAAATTTTTGCAAGAGAAATAAATTTGATTTGGTTTTTCTAAATATATTAATCCTTTGATTGAATACCAGCAAATGAAGGGTATTTCAAAAGACTAATAGGAACTTATTAATGCATTTAATAAATGGCAAAGTCTTTTTTTCTCTTCATTATTTTCAATATAAAGCTAATAATTAATAAACAATCAATTTTATATTAATGTGTTGCATCAAGAAAATAGGAGTGTTGTTTTTTTGCATGTCTGATGCAAAAAAACATCACAAAACACAAAAAAAACATCTAAATAACATTTGCAGTACCCGCTGCTACTGGGGGAAAGAATTCAACAAGTGCCAACTCCGTGGTTTAGTGGCTATGACACCATGATAGTTATCTGTAGGTTGTAGGTTCGATTCCCACCCAAATCACTTGCGAATTTTTTCATAAGTATTTGGGAACGTGCTGAATATTCGGTACGATAACACTTAAGATGGATAAGATAATCACTCCTGTGAGTGAGTCAATATATTGAAAATGTGTATAAACCTTTTAGCTCAAAACAGTGTTTTTAATCAGTTTTTTATGCAAGTTTCATTATTCACTTAATACACTATTTACCATTCATCATCATCATCATCATCATCATCATCTTCCGCTACTACATAACCTCTATTATTTGTTTTAACTATAAATGTGTTTTAAATATTTGTTTATTTTGTTATGTCATAGGAAGATGCTGTATCAAAAACGCAATATGCCTTCAGTGAATTACGCCACGTATCAGAGCGCATCGCAAGTGGACTTGCACGGATTGGTTTCAAGAAAGGCGACCGCTTCGCTGTTTTTAGCCCCAATTCAGCTGAATATATTGCAATGTTTTTTGGTATTGTAATGGCAGGGGGAGTCGTAACCACAATTAACCCAGCATACACATCAGGTCAGGCTTCTTTAATTTTATTTTAAACATATTTTATTTATTATTTAAATCTATTAATTGTCTACCTTCTAATTCCAGGGTGCTGGGTTTGATTCCTGTCAGTGTTGCAGGATTTGTTCTCACCACCAAAACAACTCCACTCTCTAAACCTCATAATTGAGATTTAGTTTTTGTAAAGTATCGTGTAAGACCACTCCCTAAACCTCATAATTGAGACTTAGTTTATGTAAAGTATCGTGTAAGACCACTCTCTAAACCTCATATTGAGATTTAGTTTGTGTAAAGTATCATGTGTGTATGTTTGTCTTGTGTAAGGGCAAGTAGGACAGTGATATTCGCTATTGACAATCCTTGGTGCAAATAAAGAATATTTTTTAACCTAAATTCTGTCTGTAAAAGTCTGTTAAAAATCTCATCAGGCAGTTTTTCTGCCATGCATATTATTCTCATGTAAATTAGTGTATTGTCTGTTTTTTTAAGAAATTATTTTTAATGATGTTTTTTTAATCTAGTAAACATTATGATGCTAATGATTTCATGGAATACCGTAAGGTACAGCACTAAACGCCTTCATGTACCTTGCATACTTTACCAGGATACTAACAAATTAGAAGGTGGTTTCTGCTGGTTTTCTGGGTATTTGAACTTTTTTTATTCTGTGTTTTGCGAATGTATATGTTTAAAGATCAACAGAGGAAGGCGGAAAAAAAAATAAAGTTTTGTTTTCTTATTAGCAAATAATTTTGCCAAAAAAAAACATTCAGATGGAGGAGAAAATAAAAATAAAATTTTATTGGTAAATATAAACAGTGTAAGATAGTATAAACATACTTCAAGTATCAAAATGCACGCCATCGTGTCAGGATTCAATATCTGAGATTAATCAACCTTTTGGTAAAAGTGTAGTAATGGGATGGTTAAATGCTTTAATTTTATATAATTAGGAAGAAACATACATATCTTTGGAGATTTTCAAGACATGAAAAATGAAAATAAAGTAAACCTTTTAATTTTTTGCGGGTACGCTAATTGGCCAAAAATTTAATTTAATTTTTATTCAAAATCATCATTATTTGCGGGTAGCAGGTTCCCTAAACAAGGTTTAAAATAAGTCTCGCATAAAAAAAAAGTACTCTCCCCACTCCCCCAAATAAAGAAGGATGACCCATTTTGTTATTGACAACGAAATTCCATTTTGTTTGTTTCTTAACAGAGGAGCTAACATTTCAATTGAATAACTGTGAGGCTGAATATATAGTTACAATACCAGCCCTTTTAGATACGGTTTCCACTGCTAAAAAACAAGCACCATTTCTTAAAGTAAGTCAAATACATTTTGATATACAGGTAATTAATATAATAATTAATACATTTTAATATACAGGTAATTAATATTGTTATTTTGTTAAATATGTTAGTTACTGTACTATTCCAATGATTTCAAATTGATTTGACTGCAATTAAAGATGTTGTCCCTTGCTAATGTCAAAAATAATAAAAAAAATAAGTTTGAAATAAACTTGCTCATTTTGCAATAACATACAAATTATCTTGTGCATAGAAATGATTGAATTTAAAAAATGTGTGCCCTGATTTTTTAACCAACAAATTATAATAAAAATAATAAAACACTTCCAGTGACTGGAAGTGTTTTTATCATTTTTCGCTGTAAACTGACATTAAACTTAGACATTTTTTAAAAACACTAATTTCTGTGTTCAAGTTGATAACTTTTTAAATGATACTTCAAAATGGGCAAGTTAATTTCAAAAATTATTTTTTATGATTTTTTTTAATATTTAGCATGGGACAATTATATACATCTTTAAAATTTGAAATACAGGAGCGGACTGCTATAAGCGCTCTTTAGACGATCTTAACGGTTAGCCGGCTAAAATCGTGACGTCACTACTGGTCTATGTTTATAGACCATTGCTATACCAGTCTAACCAGTTAGCCGTCTTAAATTTTAAAGCCTACTCGGAGGAAGCTTAAAACAGTCTTAAATCATTTTCATCATGGCATTCTGCTGATTTAATTCAACAGTGCAATGGCAAGAACTAGGCCTAGATTGTCAAAGTCGGAGAACTGAAGGACGAATATTCCGCACACTTCTCAGCGTCTGTAATAATAGGTCTACGTTTATTTACATTCATTTCGATACTTTTGCGTGCTTCAAGCACGCATGATGTTGCTCCCGATCTTACGTTACCAGGGAGTGCTTGTTTGCGTTTCAATACTCAAAGCGGTCTTAGGGAAGACTGTTTTATAGCAATGGTCTTATGACTGTCTAAGTGATAAAGCTGGCTTTATTCGAGGATTTGAGACTACCAGTTAAGACAGTTTTATAGCAATCCACCCCTGGTCTCCCTTCAGTTAAAGACCACTTTTGTTACTGGAGTTCCCTTGGTCTTTACCAGCTTTGGTCTCTAATTAGTATAATAAAGATAAAAACATTATTTGTTAAATTGTGACCACAGGAAAGTGGTGTTTAATTGGTGAAGTCTTTAGTTAGATGGAGACCTAAAATTGTGAAATGCTCGTAATGCAAAATCATTCATAGATGTACTACAGTTAAACTTGCATAAGTCGACTGTGCCAGTCGAATAATTTCTAAGTCAATTACATCCCAAATTGTTTTTTTCATTATTTAACAATCTGTAAGTCAAATTTTATCTATTAAAGTCGAACAATATATCAATGGCATTTTGGATTCGACTTTAGGCAAGTTCAACTGTATGTGCATTGGTACTAATACCCATGCAATGTATTACTGGTATTGTTTGAAAACAACTGTTAAACACCTGTCCAAATTTGATTTGACAAAAAACATGGGACATGCCTAACTGTGGTCATGATGACATGACATCACGGTCATATGATACATTATGACTATATATGGGCATACAGTATGAAATATGCACGTGATGGATACTCATCCTTTATATTTATGTATATTAGGAATTGTGCAGGGTTTGTATTTGTTTTTGGAATCATAAACAAGAGTATATTGTCTTTAGTACAGTAATGAAATTGTGTAGAAACTCGTTAAACTTAACAGCAATGTGTGTTTGCTGGTTCTCATTAAAAACATGACTAAAAGATACACTTCAGGATAAAGGCTACTTGGCTATTATTGGGCGCCTGGCAATCAGGATTTAAGTGGCAGTGGGGTGGGGGGGAGACGTCTAGGGAGAAATTTGTTGATGGTTTGGCTCTTCATTGATTATTGCTATTGCCTCCTATTGTGTGTAAAAGTTGTTGGCGCATTAGTTGTGGCTTGGACTCCCATTCTTGAGGTCGGGGGTATCAAACTCTTGCTGTGCAAATCACTTGTGTTCTTGGGCAAGGCACTTCATCTATGGCTAACATCTTTCCCATGTAATGTTGCTACTTAACTTATGTTTATCACTTTAATCCCTTTCATTGTTTATCAATCCTTAATCTGACTGAACTAATTGAACCCTTTGTATTACCGCTCTGGCTTTCTGTCTAAATAATAAAATGTCTAATCAAAGCTACTGTTGAACCTCGCTTTTTATTTATTTATATATGTGTATATATATATGTATATATATATATATGTATATATATATATATATATATATAAATTTAAAGGCAAATGGGATAAACCCATAAAAACAACGAGCAGCCACATAAATGCAAATAATGATAATATAAAGTTTAAACGGAACAGTAGAGAAAATCCGATCAAGAATGACAAAACAAACTAAATATCCACTGGAAAAAATCCCAATATCTGCAGACGGATCCGTTTCGGCCTTCTAGGCCTCATCAGTGCAGCTAGGGTAAAGATGATAACCAAACGTTATGACCAGCTTGAGCAGGGCCTAGGCTAGCCCGACGTTCAACTGCAGCATCGCTAATGAACCGTCAATGCCAAACCAAGACAGTATATAGATACGGCCCAGGTGTGGATACAAATATTGGAACAAGAGCTATGCGCCTACTTGATTATGGAATGTTATGGGGCGGAAGACTGTTCCAGTAAACACAGAGTATATTTTGTCATTCTTAACGCGTCCTCTACGAGGCTCTACCAGACAGCACTAGTCGGTGGTCTCATGGACTAATTGGAGATCTAAAGATACAACCTGTATGATGTCATAATTCTGTGTTTTAAGCAGTTGATGCTTTTTTATACTGGAACATCTGTCGTCTATGGTAATTAAAACTCTACGGGTATCACTATTATGGGAATATTTTGCAATACTACCAGTATTTCCACAGAGCCTGTCAATGAAGCCCATCAACTCTTTTTGTAAACAAGGCTTTAAAAAAGTATATATTGAGTTATTTGTAATTTTTTTTTATTTTGCAGATTTTTTATACAGTTTGTATCTGTATTGATTAAAATTGAATAATATAATAATTACTAAGAACGTCAGCTAAAAATAATTTTGAGTTAAAAGCTTTAAGAACCTCTTCATTATTTATTCCTTTTAACTTTTAATTGCTTTTTCCCTGGTTTCATGATTGATTTATCCATAGCCTCTTAATATCTCTTTACTTTATATAACACCAGAGGCCTGTTAGAAGATATAGGATTATTTTTTAGAGAATTGTTCTAAGTTGGTTCGTACTATAGTTGATATTCAAAGTCCTGACAAATAGAAAGATTAGCAGTAGGTCAGATATTATACAGAATATCAGGTCTACAAGTACTGTGATACGAAGTTTGATCTGTTTGTAAACATTGAAAAGTCCAAAATAGATTAATTTGTAGATTACAGTACATAATAATAGTATCAAGATCAGTTGTATACTAATTAATGATTAATGCTAAGGGTTGGAAGAATGCAATTGGGTTTGAAGGGAGAGAATTTGAGTTGGAGCCAAGTCATTGGGGTTGGCAGGAACAGATTTAGCCCATGGTTGGGGATGGTGGGATCAGATTTGATTGGAGCTAAGGGATTAGGGATAAGGGTGGAGATTGACCTGAAGGGAAGTGAATTGGATTAATGGAGAGGACTTGGGCTGGAGCCTTCATTTTTCAAACCATGTGACCTCGTCACTCTCAAGTCATTTTTTTTGAAGTTGTTTGGTTAAAGTTGTTTATATATAATAATGTGGTAATAGGAAAATCTATAAGAGTAAGGGATTACCCCAGTATTCTGGCCCATCCCCCTGCTGTGGAGAAGGCATGTGCACTGAATGGCAGAAAACTGAAAAATTTGACTCTTACGGAGTAGAACATTTGTACAGTAGGAATTAGTTGTTTGCTTGATAACTGCAAGTTAAAGTCATTATGTCTATTTCGTGAATGCTTACCTGAACAACCGCCTAATTGCCTAATCTCTCCCGAAAGAGAACACCCCACAAAAACAGGATGGCGCCAAGCACGTAAAAGTAAAATAACAGGCATTATATTAACAATTGTAAACGTAGAACATTTAAAACATATCTTCTCCTGAATTTAGTATAAATAAGTATTGTATACTGTAGGTAATTTCCAAGTAATAGGAACTGTGGCATGTGAAGTTATTTGTAAATAAATAAGAAAAAAATAAATTGACAATGCATTTTCAGTAAATAAATCCTGAATAGTTTATCCAGGTGAGTATTCACTCATAGACTAGCAACATCACCATTGATTTGTGTATTTAATTCTAATGTACTGTACTAAGTTTTTGTTTCCACCCACAGGATGTCTATGTATTTGGAGAGGCAGAGGGCGCCACATCCTTTTCCAAGTTACTGAATGATGACGGCAGTGCTTTTGCAAGCATTTCACTGGATGTATTTCAGGATGTTTGTGCTTTACCGTATTCCAGTGGAACCACAGGACTACCTAAAGGGGTGATGCTTACACACCACAATATGGTAGCAAATCAGTGCCAAATAAAGTGAGTCACTCTACACATATTATTAAGCAGGCCTGTACTGTAGATTCATCTACAGGGATGTATTCCTAGGAGAGACAATGTAAAGGGAAAGAGCAGCCAGGGGTGGAAAAAGGTATGCGGCAGCGCGACCCGCAGTCGGAGGAATTGACCTTTAACCCGAAGGCATGTTAGGGAGGAACAATTTTTTTTTTTTCACATCACGATGTAATGCATAAATATAATATTATGCTTGTTCTATACCACTAAATGTACTACTGTTTAGTACTGAAGGCGTGCTCAAGAAAATCTTCATGGTCGGAAAAACAATTAATTTTTTCCCAGGCCTGGGAAAGAGCATCCAAGAAGTGAAAGGATCAGTGGTGTGTGGTAAGGAATCTTGAAATAGGAGGCTGATTGGGGAAGGGGACATGAAGGTGGAGTTGGAGGTCTCGATGATTAAGCAATGGGGCCCTATGTAGCAACATATGGGGATTTTTAACTAGTTGAGCACAATTTTTTTGCTTGAGACATTTTCAATGGGTGGGGGTAACTGGGGCTTCACTCACTCCCCCCCCCCATACAGGGACGGATTTGGGGGGATGCTGGGGAGGCACCCGAGGCCCCCCCTTTTGGAAGATAAAAAATAAAAAATATTGATTGCCCAAAATGCCTCAGAGGATATTTTCATGCATCTATAACACAACAATTTCAGAATTGTATTATCTCTTTTGCCCCCCCCCCCTTTTTCCCCTTTTATAGACATCTCTGGATCCTGCCCTGCTATATACACCACTGGAAAGCAGTCCAGCATATTAGTGTGTACTATTATACTTTTTTGATTTCAGTCGAGACTTGAACACTTATACTTTACCAGGCTCGGATATAGAAGCAAACACGCTTTGTCTTCTGCCGATTTTCCATATCTTTGGGATGACAGCCGTGTTGATGAGCTCCCTCTATCAGGGGACGAGAGTAGTGACCATACCACGTTTTGAACCTGAATTGTTCTTGAAGACTATACAAGATTACAAGGTATGCTGCAAAAGAGGTAAAAAGTTAGTATCGTAATTAGTAGGTAGTTTTAATTTATGGTAATTTAGGAATTGCTTTTGTTGCTAAATTCATTTTGAGAAGATTTTTTTTGTAGTTTCAAATCATTCATCATGATTATCAAATCATTTATCATGATGCAGATTTAAGATTGAATTCATTGTCATATATAAAAATGCACATGAAATTTGTTTTCATGAGCTTACACAATATACATACACGTCACAATAAATATCAACCACACAAAATACAATAGCAACAAAATACTTAACTATGTCTTAAAAACAGCTACCTTATGTAAAGGAGTGAGATTGTCTGGTGATTAGGCCTAAAAAAAAACTTGCTTGTATACCATCATCCGCCACCCCTAAAATCTGAAAAATGAGGGACGTTTTTTTTAAGTTAATTAATCTTTTTTTTTTTGACACGATTTTGATTTTACACATTTAATAAGTAACTAAAGTTTGTGAGCTTGACCTAATACATAGTGCAGTAGTTTATTTCAATCTTATGTCTTACTCCAATTAAAGATCCCTCTTCCAATCCCAAACCACAAAAACAATTAGCCCCAACTTGCAAGGAGACCTATAGCTTACATATATTCAGTTTCTACATTTAAAAAACAAATTTTTATCCCACCTTTTATCTTCTACAAACCTCCAGACAGACCGTTTTGGTAATAATAAAAAAAAAAACAACAACTTTTTTCTGCCTGCCCCTTCAGCTATATATTTACAATGTGACAGCAAACAAACCTTTTTTTTTAGGCCTTAGTGTTAAGCTGGTATGTGTATGGTAGAAATGAATTTTGATTTCCTTCAGGTTAACCCAGTTATTATAGGTCTGTATACTTTGAATTGATTGCCTTCTGGTTAACCCAGTTATTATAGGTCTGTATACTTTGAATTGTTTAACAGATCACTCACATGCCAGTTGTTCCGCCAGTTATCCTCTTTCTCGCTAAGCATCCTCTTGTGGATAAGTACGATCTTTCAAGCCTGCAAATCGTTACATGTGGAGCTGCACCTCTTGGTGACGAACTCATCGCAGCTGTACAGAAACGTCTTGACATTCCTTGCATAAGACAAGGTGAGCATGGAATCCCTACAAGGACTATGGTACATGATAATCTAATTTGCTTATCAAATGTGACCCAGGGTCAATATTTTACTGTTTGTTCATTATTTCTAGGTTATGGACTAACAGAAACAAGCCCAGTTACAAATCTACCCAAACCAGACAATTTTATCCCAGCAAGCCCAGGACCACTGGTGCCAAATACAGAAGCTAAGGTATTATAGTATACCAATGATTTCACCAATAAAATCTTGTATATGACTTGCCAAAGGGAATACTAAGTTTTGCAGTTAAATCCTCTATCGACGTTCTCCCCACGCTCTCTAACCTTTGCAGACGGGGAAAGCGTACAAATGTATTATGTTAAATGTGTGGCAACAAAGAAACTCTCCACCATATATTAAAAGGTTGTCCAACTTCCCTCACCCAAGGAAGGTTCACATGGCGTCACAATTGTCGTCTTGCACACATTGTCAATTTTATTTAAGATAATACGAAATATAGTGATCTTTTTGCTGACTTACCCAGAATGTCCACAGCCGGTGGAACCATTTCGCCTAATGTTCTACCTACCAGTAGTAAACCTGGTGTTGTATTAATTAACGGGAAAAATGTTTATCTTAATGAATTAACTGTACCCTTTGAAGGAAATATCTCCAAAGCCCATGAGCGCAAAGAGGAAAAATACCAAAGATTAGTTGGAGATATTATAATGAGAGGTTACAAATGCAAACTTAACTGCTGCGAAATCAGTAGCAGTGGTTTTATAAGTAGGGATAATGAGAACAGAATAAAGCAATTCATCAAGGTTAAGCCGAGTAAATCGCAAGCTATTAAAAAGAAATTATGCGAAACAGCACTTATATGTTCATATTCGATTTGGAATGCAAGACACTCAAATGTCTGAGAAAATGTGAGGGACCTGCCACAGATGATGAGGTTATGCTTGGAATTGAAAATAATATTGGCAAAAATTGTAAAACCTAATTTTGAATAAATAATTTTGTAAATGAAATTGTAAATCTAAAATTTTTTTCTTTTTTATAAATGGCTAAACTGTAAATTATAATTTTTAATAATTAATTTGTAAATAATTGTTAAACCTAAATTTTGAATGATCTTTTTATATATTGAGTTTTAATGTTCATATTCGATTTGGAATGCAAGACACTCAAATGTCTGAGAAAATGTGAGGGACCTGTCACAGATGATGAGGTTATGCTTGGAATTGAAAATAATATTGGCAAAAATTGTAAAACCTAATTTCTGTCTCTTATACACATCTAGATGTTTTTCTTTTTTATAAATGGCTTAACTGTAAATTATAATTTTTAATAATTAATTTGTAAATAATTGTTAAACCTAAATTTTGAATGATCTTTTTATATATTGAGTTTTAATGTTTTACCTTAATGTTTCTCTTTTTGTGCTTCATGTTTTTTATATTTGAACTGCCTTTTGTCTGCGTAAGCCTGTTAAGTCAGGCTGCATCCTGGTTTTTGTTTTGTATATTTCATATCTGAATATCAATAAAGAATGATTCAAGAGATTTTTTATGTCAACATAAGAGGCATGCCATTCCAAAAGCAGAGTACTAGTTTTGCTAAATGTTAAAGTGAGTGATTATCATAAGAATGTGGCAATGTCGTATACTTTAGTATAGAGAAGTCACCTTTTCTCATAACTTTGGCAATAGTAAGTCAGTTCCTGTATGACCCATCATTTTCAAGCTTACAGTGTAAAGATTGAGAATATGTTAAAAAATGTATTTTTCATTTTTTAGTCACGTGGACCTAACACTAACTAAAGGTAAAGGTAGTACCCGTATTCATTACTGAAAGTAGAGGAATGAGCTGTGAGCCCATTGTACTAAGCCTCGGTATTGTGTGGTAGGGTGGCCAGTTCCTTTCCACACCGCATTTTTTCCTCCCCAGTAGTAAACCACTGGGTACCCATTTATACTTCTGGGTAGAGAGAGACAAACGTAGATAAAGTGCCTTGCCCAAGGATTAATTTCAAGTGTGTTCAAAGTTGGAAGCGGTTGGCGCATCGGTTGTGGCTTGGACTCCCAACCTTGAGGTCAGGGGGCTCGGAACTTTCGCTGTGGAAGTCGCTTGTGTCCTTGTGTTTTATTCACTCAGAATTGATTTTGTGGGTGGGGGGTGGGGGTGGTGCCAGATATAATTGTAAATAAAACACTGCACATGATGTAGACTATTTTTATTGGCAATACGCTGTCTTTTGTACACACAGTGCACTCTTTAAAGTGAAGGATATAATTGTGTTTTTCATATCAATAGGTAGTAGATGTCTCATCAGGGGAGAGTTTGCCTGTTAACAAAGATGGTGAATTGTGGATCCGAGGCCCTCAGGTGATGAAAGGGTATTGGAAGAATGAGCAAGCTACTAGGGAGTGCATTGATTCTGATGGATTTTTCCACACAGGTTAGTTAATGGTGTTAGTGGTAATAGTGCTAGTAGATGGTGATGATGCTAATGGTGAGGTGATGGCAGTGATGGTTTTTGTGATAGTGGTAGCACAGTGCAATTGGTGGTGGTAATGATAGTGATGATACTTAGTGGTGGCACAGTGATAATGGTGGTGGTAATGATGGTGATGATACTTTGATAGTGGTGGCTGCCATGCTAATGGTGGGATGATGGAGGTGATGGTTTTTGTGGTAGTGGTAGCCCAGTGATAATGGTGGCAGTAATGATAGTGATGCTACTTCTGATAGTGGTGGCACAGTGATAATGGTGGTGGTAATACTTTGATAGTGGTGGCTGCAGTGCTAATGGTGGGGTGATGGGAATGATGGTTTTTGTGATAGTGGTAGCACAGTGATAATGTGGTAATGATAGAGATGATACTTCTGATAGTGGTGTCACAGTGCTAATGGTGGTGATGATACCTGATAGTGGTGAAACAGTGATAGTGGTGGTGGTAATAATGGTGATGATACTTTAATAGTGGTGGCTGCAGTATTAATGGTTGGGTGATGCAGTGATGGTTTTTGTGATAGTGGTAACCCCCTCCTTGTCTGACAATGACTGGAAACTTGTGCACTATTGAACTCAGTAGGCTTAACCCTGCCATACTTTTGATCCTTTGTTTTTGTTTACATTTTCAGGAGACATAGCGCAGTATAATGACCAAGGCCATTTTTTCATTGTTGACCGACTGAAAGAATTGATTAAGGTCAAAGGATTCCAGGTAAGGTCGTCTGATTGATTTATTAGTAGTTCTTTATCTGACATATTCTTATAAAATAATTTTGTAACATTGTCTCTATTAATTTTCTTGTAAACTTAAAATTGCAGAAACGTATATTAACATTTTATATTATTTATAATAGAGGGGGTGCTCCATACCCGATTTAATCTTGTTTATTGTGTGTCGAGCAATACCTATAGAATAGAATTACCTCTAATCAATAATTGAATAGAATTCAATAAGCTTAGCCCTCTTCATTATTGAATTGGTAGAGAATCCAAGGTATTATCTAGGATAAGCATTCAAATAGTACATTTTTCTGAAACAACCAAATAAACACGACTGCTCACCGGTACAGGCGTTCCTCCACCCTTCAATACGGTTACAGGCGCAAGTTATTATATTGGGGTTTTTGGAAAAGCTAATAAGGTAGAAATGTTTAAGTAACTAGAATGTATATTTGTACAAAAAAAAATTATTATGTAGAATATTCATTTGTACAAAATTAGAATGTCTTAAAATTGAAAAAAAAGTCTTAATATGAAAAAAAAAAAGTCTTAAAATTGAAAAAAAAAAATGTCTTAAAATTAAAAAAAAAAAAATGAATACCAAGACAGTATTTGAACTCACGACCTTCTTTAGAACACATCCTTAACCAACCGCGCCATGCAGTCGACGTGCCCTACTAGTGGTTATGGCAGTAATGTACAGTCCTTGCTAAAACTCCTGTTTTATTTTGTAAGTGTAGGGGGATCCCAGGGATCTAACTTAAAAAAAGGGTGATGAATTGTTGGAAATCACCTCTAGATTATGTGTACAAAATTTCCTGCACATTCGTTCAAAACTGGCGACGCTGGATGCTTTTAAAGTTTTGGTAACGAGGTTGTGGGGTCTGCGCTTAGCGCGGACCCAGTAAGACAATAAGAAGATAATTAGGGCCTAAAGAGTTACTCTATAATTTTTTTTAATCAACACAATTGTTTTTAAAGGTTGCACCAGCAGAGTTGGAAGCTCTTTGTCTTACTCATCCCCAAATAGCTGACGTTGCCGTCATTGGTGTGCCGGTGGAAGGAGTTGGCGAACTGCCAAAAGCTTATGTTGTCAGAAAGTCTGAAGATCTCACAGAAGAACAAGTCAAAGAGTTTGTTGGCAGTAAGTGTTTCCAAGATTTCTGAAAATTAAATAATTATGTTAAAATGTCATTACTATTTTGAATAATCACAAATACATAGGAAGAAATAAATAAAAATATCACAACTATTTGTATTTAAAAGGAAACCCAATAAAACGAGATGTATAACATCAGTGTTTTTACCCCGGTTCTTATATTTTTATATTATCTTTGCATTTTGCTTTTGTGTATGTGAGCTGTCGTGACAAGATGAGTCTTACAGTATGGTACATCGGGTCAATTTGATATATTCAAGAAAATATATCTGAAGTAATATTTTAAGAAAAATTGGGTTTCAATTTTTCTGCTAAGTTTAATATTCATAGTAGCAATAGTTCTGAGTTTAGTTACCTGAGGCAATCATGTTTTGAGGCAACTTTTGTAAAGCTTTTTTTCAGAATTGATAGGAAAACCAACACAAAATTTAGCAGTTGCTTAACTTTAGAGGTGATTTTCTCTTAAGTATGTTTTTAGACATCTGAACTTTAAAATGATTTTACTCTGGTTTAATCTCAACCTAGGAACATGATTCAAAGACCAAAATAAAGCTTATGGTTATCTATCTAAATATATCATCAGCTCAATTTTCATTTATGTGACTCATTTTGTCACGACAGCGCACATATTTAAAAGCGTAAATCAAATTGTAAATCCTCTTACCGTTAAGACACACACCAGGATGCAAATGGGTTCAATGGTCTCAGCATCTCATTAAAATATTCAATGACAAAACCAGTGGGCTAGATATCTGCATTCAGCGCACACAGTCACTAATAAGTTGATCTAACATACCTGTACTATAACTATTTGAAGCAATTCAATTCATAATTTTTTTTATTTTTTTTATTTTGCCAGGTCAAGTGGCTCCATACAAAAAACTGAAAGGTGGAGTAGAGTTCGTCAGCGAAATACCAAAATCACCTAGCGGCAAAATATTAAGGAGAGTTCTGAGAAAATCTGTACTTGAATCCTAAAAATAATTTGAAATAAATCAGTTGATTTTTTAAAATTAATGAATGAAGCGCACATAACAGAAAAACCTTGTTTAAAATTGTTGATCTGAAAAAAAATTTAACAATTTATAAATTAATAATCAGTAGCAGTGTTCTCCCAATTGAAACATTATTACGGGTAATTGTCTATAAAAATTCAGCTATGCACGCATTGTGAGACGTTACCACTTTTGAGTGGTGTTTAATGACTTAAAAAAACAACAACACATGTAGTCATAGCCTAGGTATAGACTGGAATGATGTTCATTTATTGAAAGAAGGCCAGCCTAGACTACCTAGGCCTAGTCAGTGGTTTTATTATCTTACAATATCAACATTTTTACTGGTTGGCCAGCTATTTATTTGATGGCTTAAAATGGCTTTAGGAGAAGAGTGCATAGTGTTCCTATAGTACAGGATTTGAATGTTAGTCCACGAGGCTGCTCTTCTTGGTTTTTTCATCTTGTATATTACTACCTTATTTTAGAGTGTGTTTTTCATGTTCACTGACACCTTTCATTTATAACTTTATTGCCAGGAAGATAATTTACTCTCATTCGTCCACACTTTTTTTTAATTTTTTGTTATTTACAGTAATGCGAAATAGGACCTATTTAAAATCATAAACTGATAATGTTGACATATCTTATCATAGATCCATGTCAAAGAAAGGCAATAGAGGAATTTTTAATTATTTTGTACATTAAATAATTCTAAGACATTAAAAGAATGTTTTGAAGAAACATTTTGGAATGCCTATAAGAAACAGATTTTTGAAAGGTGAAATTTTAGGACAGTAGCAATTTATATATAATAACTAATTTAGAAATGATCAGTACTGGTAGAGTGTAGCTTGTAATGTACAGTAGAACCCCTATTAAGGGGACACCTTTGGGACCAAAAAAGGTGAGTTGTCCCCTGAATAGGGTTGTCCCAAAAGAGGGGTTTTACTATATTCAGAAAATGCTATCATCTCCACTTGACAATAACAGGCTGAAGATTTGCACAGTATTCATTATGATTATGGCAGTGGACCAAATCTAACTTATTTGAATATTGAAAAAGGGAGCAAAATTAGTAATTTTGGAACTAACTATCATTGTTAAGAAAGAAATGTATATAAACAGGTTTTGGATATGAAATAATATTCTTGATAAAATTTAAAGAAAAAAAATAATGGTATTTGAAATAAATTAATTTGTAGTATACTCAGAATGTGAAATATAATGTTTGTTTAACTGCTATATTTTCTGCATTTAATGATTTTGAAAAACAAATTGGATAAAAAAAATATCTTTAAAGTTGTAGTAGTATCTTTGAAATATTATAGCCATTAACGTTGATATCTACAGTGTAATTACATACCTAACTGGCTAGACAACCTATAAAGTTGATATTGATTAATTTTCAAAGATTATATATTTTGAAACATTTAGATTGAAAAAAATAAATATTTTCGAGAACAGGTCAAAACGGCAATAAGTCAAAACGGCAATAAGTCAAAACGGCAAAAAACCAAAACTGCAACACTTTTAGACCAGAACATCAATGGACTAAAACGGCAATAAGTCAAAACGGCAATAAACCAAAACGGCAACACTTTTAGACCAGAACATCAATGGACTAAAACGGCAATAAGTCAAAACGGCAATAAACCAAAACGGCAACACTTCCAGAATGACATACTGTATGGTAATTGGCAAAATGACTAAATAAAATACTACTAGGCCTAGAAGGTCTAAGCCGAAGGTGTAGACTAATTATTATAGTTATTGTTATAAAAATGTATACTGTACTGTACATTGCGGTTATACAATCGCCTAAAATTTTACGCAGCACTTGATGATGCCGAAGTCGTCGTAGTAAACGGACCTGCTTGCATGACGTTTTCAGTTGACCATAAACAGTAGGCAACACAGTTAATAATTGAATCACCGAATTAACAATAGTTAAATAGTTAATAGTTAATTAAAAGGTTATTGAAAGTAACGTTCCATTGGCGTTACAAAACCCGCTCATGATTTCGCACCTTATTCATTTACTTCAAGGTGCTATTAACTCGTATTTACCTCGGTTTGATGGTTTTATTTTAACTGCTGTTACTAATATAACAACATTAAAAAATACAACTCAAATAAAATTAACAGACCATTCTGATTCAATATTTATTTTGGTATATCATCAGTTCAGTTTTTTTCTGATCCAAACATTGTACAAAACAGATAAAATTCGCACAAGGCAGGACAAAAAAATACTACAATAAAAGATAAGAATGGTCTATAAAAGTTTTCTTTAAGAAGTAAAAAATCGCAAAATAAGGTGATTTTAAACTACTTGACTGTGATTTGAAACCAGTGTCAGTATAATCTTAGGTAAGCATGTGGTTAACATAAGCAAGAATTTAGTCCAATGAAACTGTTTATCATCTTGATACCTTCCGACGAAAATTGACCCTACCGGCGTCACCACGGCGTCCCCACCGATCGATCTAACGTGACGTTGTTATGTGGGTGATTTATAGATTATTGAGAATGGTAATATCACTGAAAAATAGATAAAATGACAGTTGAATGACCAACAAAGACAACTGAAGACAATAGTTTTTCATTAGAAGTTATTTAGTATAACTTTATTCGGAAAATTAATCTCAAAATCGAGTTGCCGTCTCCGGCGTTGTCAGTGACGTCGTATGATTTGTGTGCGAATTTTACCAATTAATTGTAAATAGGAAGAAAGTATTATTGTGCATGATAGGAAGGTAAAATGTTCCCAACGTCAACACAATGAGAGAGGTATGTAGCGTCCCGATTGTCATGTGCAGATCGTGAAATCAGGTGATTGAAGATAATTTCGTACGTGCCGTCTTTATCCAAATTAGTGACGCCGGGGATGAGAACTCGTCCCGTACATTACACATGCCATAATAAGGTGTACAATGATGTATTTTGTTTTTGGTTTGCTGCCATCGTTCGGCGACGAAGTCAACAAAGATATGATACAAACCAAAGTTGTCAGTTATTTCATTTGAAACCAGTGTCAGTATAATCTTAGGTATGTGGTTAACATAAGCAAGAATTTAGTCCAATGAAACTGTTATCATTTTGATCCCTTTCGACTAAAATTGACCCTACCGGCATCGATCTAACGTTTATTGCCGTTTTGGTCATTGCCGTTTTGGTTTTTTTGCTGTTTTGTCCAGAAACCATATGTTCTACAGATTAGCAATACAAAGGTAACATAAACAATTAAAAAGGGAATGAACGCATCTTTTAAAGCCGAGATAAATTCCTACCCAGAAGTAACTATTGACCAATCAGGTGCTCTAAAATGACACTCGTGAATAGGCATTATTTGCTATGAATATTCATTATCACTGGTAAAACAGTACACAGACGGCGGTCGTCGTGTAGCCTAGACCTTCGGCAGTCAAGTATATCGCCTACTCTATATTATATATCTAGGCTGGGCCTAAGTAAGTTTTGTATTACTAATTAAAATTAATTTTTGTTGAGTTTTATTCATTTACAAAACTTAATAGCGCGATTTCAAGGATTACTTTTGCCTGAGAATTAAGCTTGTTGGTAGGCTAGGCCTACCTACTAAGGCTAGCCTAGGGGCCTCTAGGGCATATTCCCCCTAGCCCCTAGCTATGCTTAGGCTTAGGCATGTTGTACGTAGGCATAGGCTAGGCCTATCCTGCTGCTAGCGCTTTTTCCAGCCTAGGACCAACTACTACTAGGGTCTAGGCCTATTCCTGGGCCTTCCTTCTAGTAGAGACCTCCTATAGCCCTCACAAGAAACCTCAAGCAAGCAAGAGGCGTACTTTTTTGCTCTCTTGTTTTTGTCCAGCCAGACCACTGTTTTGGATGAACCAGAGACAGAAGAGGAACTTAGGGCTAGGCCTACTTATCATATGGATGTTCTACCTAGCTTAGGCTAGGCCTAGACCTCATGATATATTCATTTTCATTTTATTTGTGAAATCTGAACTTTATTATGTTATATTATAGGCAACTAATGATAGAATGCCAACTTGAAATATTTTATTAATGCCAAACAATCATAGATTGTAAATAAAAAAATGTTTGTTGATTGAAAAAATTTAATTATGTAGGCCTAATTTCAGATTGAAATTGGTTTTGTATAGTCCTATTTTTGAAACCTAGAAATAATCAAAATGAAGTCTGAAGTAAAGCCAGATAATGATATCAACATGCAGGAACTTCATGAAGCTGCTGTAATATACTTGGACCAAACTAATCATTTTGAAGTTTTACGCCAACAATGTGAATTGTATCTTCAAAAAGCACAGGTAATAATGATGATAAATAACCGGTATGTGGTGGTGAAAAAAAAAAGTAATAAAATTCTCCATTCCACTCTTCTGGACCACGCAATATGATTGATGATCTTTATGATGAAGTTATTGATGAGGATTGATGATGTTTATTGATGATATGATAGTGATTAATTATGTTAATAATAATACAGTAAACTGTGCTTGTTTTAAAATAGGTTTTTATAGAAGAAAGATGTGGTTAAATATATTTTACGTTATTTTTTGTTTGTTTCATTTCTTATTTCAGTCTGTTTATTTTTATACAATTTGTGTCAACTCAGCAGATATAGTTCAATATAATGGTATGTGTTTTATTTTAAATTTATCTTGTTTTGTTTTGATTCAGTCATTGTTTATAAAGCCGTAAATGGAGAAAAAGAAACATCATTTTTAATATGAGTTTGTACATATTTAGAATCCCAAATGATTAACTTCACCAGATTTGTGTGTAAAGACAAGCCAAACCAGTCACTTGTCGCAAATCCTGTTACAGAGATAATGGCCAAAACATGCTGGAATGTCAACATTTTTAAAATCTATTTTATTACGGTACACTAAACCATGGAGGTATAAACTTTCATGCTCTGCTGATTTTAATCCCCATTTTTAATGTTAAAATAACAATTTTTAATGATTTTGTGTTGGTTTCTGCCTGAGAAATGCCTAAAGGATTTCAGCCATTTCTCAGGCATTTCTGCCTGAGAAATGGCTGAAATCATTTATTTCTTAAATATTGTTCATATTATTTATTTCTCAAATATTGTTCTTTGAACAGCTATATGTTTAAACTCCTAACTTCATAACGAAATGTCAGATTTAAATGATTCTTTTTACCATTTTCTCATTTGACTGTGTAACCCTGTAATAACTAAATATCGATTTTTGCAATGAGTGAGTGGTTTGGCTTGTCTTTGCTACATTTATGAATACATTTTTAATAAATATCAAGGTAGTAAGTTCTGTGAATATTGATTGTGAATAAATCGTTTATGTTAAGAAATAAAATAATTTAAATCAATAAAAATATGAATAAATAACTAAAAGTTTGATGATTATGAAATATTGCAGATATAGAATAACATGTCAGGGTGAATTTATTTTCAATAATTTTTTTCTTTGGTACCAAACTTCATTTTAATATTTTTTATATACTTTTATATAAAATATGTTAATTTAGTAACAATTTTTATCATGTTTCTTTTAGCAGTTCTTGGAAACATAATTTTAAATCAACCACAGTTAGCTACTAAAATATTTCAAGAGGTAAGAAATTTATTGATTCTTTGAAAGATGTACTATAAGAAATTATTGAAATGCTGCAAAAGCAAATCACTAAATATAAAAACATTATTTTTGCAGGTTGTTTACATAGCTATTAAGTCATTATCGTTGTTAGAAGATAATCCATCATGCACGCAGATATCTGTACATATTAAGCTGACGTGTCTTCCAAACTTACCAAGGTAAGCAAACGAGGGAGTCGAACGGCTTAGCGGTTAGCAGGGGCGTCGCAACCTACAGCCATACTATTGGCGCTGGTTTGAACGGCACACTCACCTATGGTTCTGGTGGTAGAACAAGTCTTCTTGGATAAAGACTATAAACCGTAGGCCCAGTGTAATGGCAATGGCTCGTGTGCATGAAGGAACCCAGTACATCATTCGAGATGAGTAGGGGAATACCCCGGTGTACTGGAACAGACAGCCCCTGTGGTGGACGACGAGAGTTGCTGGTACCGGGTTACCGGGTAGCACAGACACGGAGGGACCCTTAGGGGTGAAGAAAGTCATTGATCGAGTTCCTAGTCCACATATCAAGCGCCCTGAGCATCTTATATTAGATGGACACGGCGCTATATAAAACTACACTATTACTATTATATGAATTGCATAATGCAAAACAATGTTATATTCCGGTAGTAGATCTGATAGTTACTACAGAGAAGGCATATATAATGATCCCCATTGCTAAGAAGGACTCGCTAAGAGGTAAAATAGTTTAAAGACTAGATGAAATTCTTCCAAATATTATATTCATTATTATCATTCCTATGTTTGTGCAATTTCAGTTATATTCTTAGACCAAGTGAGTTGTGGAAGTGTAAATTTGAGTCAAGATTTTTGCAATTTAATGGCGTAATCTGCAGTATGACATCTAAGACAAATTACACGTAAGTATATTAAAAAATAAAAATTCTTACAAATTTTATTTCAGCAGTACACTGAAATATAGAACTGCATTAACGAACAGAAAACAAATATATTTTCCGACATCAGCGGAAAAAAAATTTTTGTCAAGGGGCGTAGTACACCACAATTGGTGTCACTCGGTCAGCGTAATAATTTCAATCTATTGCATTTCCTCGTGTGGAATCATAACCGGACCCCTTTTCTCATTGTGGATTGAAATTACCTCGCTTGTCGTAATAAATCACGACCGAACACACTATATCTGATCATGTGTTACTTTATTGTGTACAGTGTATTGAGGGTCAAGAGTGGGCGGGGCCATATAGTTAATTCTTAGCCCAGTAGACAAAAATAATACTGTATATAAATTAGAAATTTGCTGAGAAGCAGAAAAAGCAACATCTGTCACCAATCTTTGCCTCTTAATCTCTAAAGCCCTGTCCAGACTAAACAGAAACATGTGACATGCCTAAATATGGTCATGATGACATCACATCATTACCATATATAGGCACATCACAACTATATATGGGCATACAACAGTTTTTTTGTCAAAGAAAATGGGGTAATCTGAATAGAGCTTAATATTCTTAGGATCTTCAAGAATAAAATACAAATATGTACACTGACCTCCCAATAATCACTAATGCTTGTAATTTTTTTGTTGACAGAAAATAATCAGCAATTGTAAAAAAACTTGCTTTCCTTTAATGTCGTCACACCCTTATATAGTAAATGTGCCAAGTTCAGATGCCCCGTCCCAAGATGTGTTGGTGCTTCAGAGAATTCTCATATAAGGTTCCATGCAGCTGGAGTAAGGGAAAGCCAGACAATCAGGTAAGCAAATGTCTATATGATTCCATGCAGTAGGTTATTTCCGAGTACTGTACTTTGTGGTTATGTGACAAGTAATTGTGTTGTGCCCATATTTGGGTGTATTATGACATGATCTGCCCATATATGGGCACATCACATAAATTTGTCACAAACAATTGATAGTGGATAGAGCTTAAGGTCATGTTCTCATTGAATTAATTTTGGACCAAAACTGTTTGCGCTTATATTTAAGTACACAGCAGATTTTACCAAGTCCCTAGTTATATGCCATGCATAATTGCCATGTTAATGCATGACCTTTGTGTGCATTTATATGTGTACACATTTTAACTTTTGGATACATTCTATTCACAATAAAATTTTCAAAATGCACTCAACTGTCACTTAGCTTTTTTGTTCACAAAAACAGCCTTGTTATTCTACTATGGTGTGATATTCTCTGTTAACCTTACAGACATTATCTTTTTTTGGTCTAACAGGAAAGATTTCAGCTGTATATACTGTGGTGCTGGACTAAAGGAAGATGTCCATCACAGAATACTAGGAGGTATGCTCTGACAAAATTCAATAAAACATTTAAATGGTTAACTAGATAATAAATATATTTGATATTTATTATCATGTTTTACATAATTTATGTATATTGATAACACTTTAAAAGGGAACTAGAATGATGAATTTTTTTCTAGAGGGGATTTTCTATATGTCATTAGTAATAGAATCAACTATCATTTTTTGGGAATTTTTTTTATAAAGTTATAGATAATTACAATTTTACTCATTTAGCAGTGTGACGTCCGTGTAAGTTATGTAACCAAAAATTATGTAGCCACTAGGCGGTGCTATACGTTAATTGTTGTTACTCCTTGTTGACAAGAGTTGACAACCGCTGATGCATGTCCAATGCATAATCAGTAAATCGGCGTGGCCTGTACACAGGGTTGCAATGGCCATATGCCAAGGGGTTTTGTATATGAACCAGAAAAACATGAAGATAGCGTTGAAATCGAAGAAGCACATGATTATGATTCAGAAGTTAATGTATTCCCATATATATTCACGATGTGACGATATTTAGGCATATATCACATGTTTTTTTTCAAATAAAAAAATATAGTCTGAACAGGGCTTTAGTTATGAGAAGAGTTTCTTTTGGATTTGAACCCCTGACCTTGGGATTGAAAGGTGAGCACCAAGTCACAGCTCCACTTTTTTTTCTTACAAGCGACAGACTTTTAATATACAAAAAGAAATTAACTACGATTTGTGTATCCTTTACAGATAAACTTGTTGTTCAAATGGTTGATTCAGCTGCATTCTTGTCTTCAAATTGTGTGACGTCCGCTCAGGTGACTTCTGGTCAGGTGGTTTTGGGGTCAGCATGCAGATTTCAGTCCATTGTTGCCTTTTTTAGAGGTAATTATACTTGTAAAATGGAATGGCTCACCAGATATATTTAATGACAAAATCATTATTGTATACCATACATTGTGTATTTTGTGTTATGCATGAGAAAAGTATGACAAAGCTACAAATAATTGTATACATATCCTGAGTTAAGAAGTATAGTATTGTAAAGTAAAACAAATACAAAATGTGTATCATTTAAAATGATAAACATTCTGTATTTGTTTTACTTTACAATACTATAACTATATTTATTATTTTCAATTATAGCTACTATATTATTTTTTTAATTGTTATTATTTTTACTTTAAATCACTATTAATATTTTTTATTGCTTTATGATACTTTTATTATCTCACATCAATCAAATAATAATTTCCCTTAAATTTTCTCTATTAGATGATTTGATTGATAGTGTATATCTTGGAGGGTGTTATAGAATAATAGGTATACCAGTGAAGGAGATTAAAGGTGTTGCTACAGAGGTGTTTGTAGAAGTTAATAACATCATTCCACAGGTAATAAGCATTTCAAAATTTGGTTAAATTGAGTAGCAAATTTAGGTTAATTATCATTAATCTTCTTTTGTTATGTTAACTGTACAGGTTCAGTAATGGTAGGGGTATTTTTCCTATTTTCCATAGAGTATACTAATCTCTTTGTGCACATAAGGCGTCTTAACCGGGAGACAGTGTACAATGAAACAAAACCTAAGGAGGACAGCAGATAAACATGGACCAAAATCAAAATGGTTTCTACTGTTTAACGCACACACAGTGGTTACTAGTTTAACCATCTAAGCTAGCTGCTCCCACAATAATTAAAATAATATTCTAGGCTGACACATCATATTATTATATTTTCAAAAAATTCTAACAGTCAACTGTCATATTATCAATAACAACCACCAGTTACAAGATGGACAGCTTTGAAAGTTTTCACTTTTAATATGTATTTTTTTTAATGTTTTTTTTTAGGCAATAGAAAATGTGATTATTCCATCCAGCATTCAACATCTTCTTGCAGGTAAAGTTTTGTAACATGATCATGAATCCGTCTTTTAGAATTTCAAAAACTAGCACGGATTTAATTATTCTATATAATTATAATAATATATTGGTTTTTTTAATACACAGTAAAGATAATTTTAAAAATTATTGTAAGTAAATCTAATTTGTATGCACTAATTTTATAGTATAGTAGTTTTTAAAATTCTATTTTATAATAATTTTTACGATTGTATTTTCAACAGATCACCAACAGTCCCCATGGGGTTTTATTTCCAGCCTGGTTGACATATTTGGTGTGGATATCAGCCCTCAAGGCACTTACCACAGACTTAAATTAGCAATATTACTCAGCCTGGTTCAAACCAACACAGATAAAGTAAGTCATGTTATTTATCTATTTGTTTATAAAATATGTCTTGTTGTTTAATCAAAAGTATTAATCATTCATTGAGACAACTTGATAAGGCTCTGAAAGAGGCTCTGGCACTAGTCAGTTTTAATACAATTATAATGCACCCCTTGCTTGCATTTTTAAAATTCGTACTACAGTAATTCTTAAAAAAGAGCTTAGAAATAGAAACAAGAAGGTCATAAGCATAGTACTGTACTTAATAATAATAATAATTAATAAATAATAATATCTATTGGTTTATCCAGCAAGATTGTTTGGAGTGTCTCCCTCCACCAGTCAAAATTAGGTGTATATAGTGCCCTCTCCTCTCAACTGAAGACTTATGAACATGGATCTAATTCTCTTCATCTTTTTCTTTAAGAATGCATCCAAGTTGAACATCCTAGCCGTAGGTTCCTCCACTCACATCATGTCGAGACTGTTTGCGTTCGGTGCCAAGCTGGTCCCTAGGAGCACGTTGCCACAGTCCGCAGAAGAAATGTTTGCATCTGTCAGTCCAGAGACATTTGGAACTGGAGTATGCAGCATTGATGGTAAGTTTACTTCACATGAAATAGTAAACAATTAACCAGTATTAAAGTTAAAAATTGAAAAAATAATAATTTACAATAATAAAATAATAATAACAATAATAATTTTTTTTAAATATTGTTTGCATCATACTTTTTTGACAGTATTTATTCTAAACTAATATTTTATCATTTTCTTAGCTTAACTTAAAATGAAATGTGATATAATATTTATTTTACAAATGCAGTAAGCCATCTAATAAAATACTTAAAGATTTTAATCGACCTCTACATACATGACTTACCTTAATATTTGCTTGTTCTGTCTTACATCTGCCCGGTAGTGTATAAACCGGTAGTAGCTTAAGCATTATTACCTCAAAATGACGTGAGACCAATGCCAGCTATTGCAACAGTTGGGACAGTCCCACACAATTTTTTTTAATGGATTTTTAAAAAATGGGTCCAAATTATGTAATTTTATGCATAAAATGGGTCCACTTTTTTTGAAAATTGGGTCCAAGGTTTGTCATATTTAGCTTAAAATGGGTAAAATTGAAGAAAATGGGTCCAGATTTTTCATATTTTTACGTAAAATGGATCCACATTGTTTGAATTTACACATAAAGTGGGTCCACCCTGATATTGTCCCCCACTGTTTGAAAATCCTGGCTACGGCATTGCGTGTGACACGTTGAAACATGTCGATTAAAATGTTTATTTTGTTTTCATTATTTTTTCAGGTGGGTCACTAGCACTTGTTGATGATGGCGTTTGCATTGTGGGAGAAATTAGCGCTTTCAAAAAAGATACGTTGGAAAGGTTGACAGCAGGTGAGTCAAATGACATCACATTACCATTCAGTGACATAACATCACCTGGCAGTGACATATCACATCACCATTTTGTGACATCACATCACCATTCAGTGACATCACATCACCATATAGTGACATCACATCACCATATAGTGACATCACATCACCATAAATAGTGACATCACATCACTATGCAGTGACATCACATCACTATGCAGTGACATCACATCACCATATAGTGACATCACATCACCATGCAGTGACATCACATCATTATGCAGTGACATCACATCACCATATAGTGACATCACATCACCATGCAGTGATATCACATCGCCATTCAGTGACATCACATCACCATGTAGTGACATCACATCACCATTTAGTGACATCACCATTTAGTCAAAACAAATATCCTGACATTTACCGGTAAATGGATTTGAAACTAGGATCTGCGGATTGATAGGCAAGCACCTTGCAATTATTTTAGTGTTCATTTTATATTTTATTATATTATAACAGCAATTTCATTCATAAGTAACATTATAATGATCAAAAGGATTTGAGCCCGGAGTTGCCACCAAACCACACTCCACAAATTAAGATTTGTTTATATAATATATAATTTACACTGATACTATATAATGATTTTCATAGCATTGGAACATAAGACTGAGGTTTTAAGCATCCCACGTCGATATGTGGAGTCTGCTAATTTAGATGAAGTGTCAATTCCACTGCGATGTAGTATATGGGGAACACTTTACACTTGCTCCAGAATTGGAACTGAACACCTGGTAGGCTATGAAAAAGCACCTACAAAGGTGGGTTTACTCTTGTACTTTTTATATGCACTTAAAGGTCTTTTTAGGTTCACACTTTTACTTTATAGGTTCAAACTTTACATGTCTGCACTTGTAATAACCTGTGCACTTACACTTGTGCTTGTAAGTATCTTTATATGCCTACACTTGAGTCTACTTAAATATCTTTATATGTCTACACTTGTACTTAAGTATCTTTATATATCCACATCTGTACTTAAGGATCTTTTTTATGTGCATGTACTTAATGATTAATTGTACTGTATTTGATTTTATCAATATGTTTGATGATCAATAAATTACTATGCACATAAGGATCTTTTATGTTCACTGATATTTACATATACTGTCACGATATAAACTTTCTTAATATGGTTATTATTGTTTGAATTTTAAATTAATTTGCCTTTTTAGACATCTGATCTCAGCTCAGCTTTTCAACAGTAAGTAAATATAATTTTTTTTTTTTATTCTTTTAATTAATATTCCCTGTCTGTAAAGACTAAAGACAAGTAAACATACACCAAATTTAGCTACTTTAAAAAAAAAAATTATAAAGCAAATTTTCTTTTCATGTTATATCAGAATATTATTATATTTGGAGATAGACATGAACTAATCATTTAATGGATTGGATTGGATTAGATTTATTCGGTGTAAGCACCAAGGATAGCCCAGGAAAGTCTGAAGAAAACTTATTACCAGTGGTGTCCTTCTGGTGGTGATTGGGCTGTAACACAAGGAGACAATCCCCTACTCTTTTCCGAAAAGTGTACTATGTTCTTTAACATAGACATGGGCCATAATGCACACGGGACCAACAGATTAAACGTCTCATCCGAAAGATGGTTGCTATCGTAACTTGCATTTCAGCCCTTCAGCTGAAACACAAGGAGAGGCAGCATTGGGAATTGAACCGGAGACCAAGAGATCTTCATGGTTCAGATACACACAGTGGCTACCACCAGTTTAGCCAACTCAGCTAAGCTGCTCTCTATATGATAGTAAATAGTATAACGATAATTAAAAAGAAAAGAGAGATTGCTGCAGTAATAATCTTTGGCACACCACTTACAATGATAATAATTTTTCTGTGTTTTCATTTTAAAGTGGGTTCAATATGGTCTGTATTTGTGATGGGTTAGAGTCCTCAAACGATACACTGGCTGATGAAAAGCTTGCTTATGCTGTGTTAAGCTCCTCTATGATGACCAAAGAGACTTGTGCACATAACACAACAAAATCTATTAGTATAGAAGACCTCAAGAAGGTACTACAAGTGTGAATTTTACTGAATGTTTTTGAATCAGTATTTTAATATTTTAAAGTATTTTCATTATATTTTTAATGTTTTTGTGTCTTTTTATTAATTCACATATGGAAGGATTTACTTTTTAACTTAGGTGATATGTTTACACAATGTACTTTAAATGAAGGTTTTATATTTTTTGTGTGTTTGACATTTTATGTTAAAAACTTAAAAACTTTATGCAGTGTATCCAATGACAAATTTCCAATTGTATGTATATGGAAAATAAAAAGTTTTTTGAATTTGAGTTTTCAATTATTTATAGAAGGTTGAATAATGTATTAAATAGATGTGTTTTTTTATAAATTTTTATTTTAGTTCATATCCTTCGCAAGAAACCGTGAAGTGGTGTTAAGCAAGGGAGCTGAGGTCTTGTTAAGAGGATACTTTGTTGGTTGCAGAAGAGCTCGTACCTCTAGTATACATGCCACCCCAATACCACACTCTGCCTTACAGACTTTGTAAGTCTTATGTATTCTGATAAGTCATGGAAAAATGTAAAAAAAATATTCAAAGTGTATATGTATCATCCAGGTTCATCCAGGTTTGAGAGAACAAATCATAAAAAAATCCAAAAATATTTCTTCTTGTTATTTATAATTGTTAGATTTATATTTATTTCATGAACCATTTGTTAGAACATAATTATTATGAAAATGTTATCCATGTAATATATGTTTGTAAATAAATAAATATATTGGGCTGCTTTATCAACTGTAAGTAGAATTTATTATCATGTCTCTGTTTGCGCAGTAAGCCCCTTTTCTCTTTTTAGTCTCCCAAAATATCCAAATACTTTATTCAAATTTGTATTTTTTTCAACAGATTGTGTCTGGCACATGCCCATGCAAAGCTATGTCTTAGGGATGAAGTGTTAATGGAGGACGCTACACTAGCTGTGCTGTTGTATGAAGAAGCCATGACGATTAGATTTGGTAACAGCTTTAATATGTAAATATACTCATCATAATCTTCATCGTCATCATATCACTATCATTATTATTATAGCACTTGTCTGTACTGTTCCAGCGAACCCTTAGTGGTGCTGGAGAACGGATCAGTGAAAATGATTCTTTAGTTTTCTATGTAGCATTAGGATACAGTATCTCTTGGATGTTTTTTTTTGTTCATGTAAATCGCATAGAAGCACATATATAATTATTGTTATTATTATTATTATTATTATTATTATTATTATTATTGTTATTTTATTATTATTATTATTATTATTACTATTATTATTATTATTATTATTTTATTATCATTATTATTATTATTATTATTATTATTATTATTATTATTATTATTATATCATCATTGTCATTGGTTTTATCATAAAGATAGTAATTTTAAAAATCTTGTACTTACAGTAGATGTCATTATGAGCCACTATTCTATTAAAACTTTCATTTGTATACTTTTGTACTATAGGATGCTCTGTGTTATCAGTGAAGCCAAGCATGCATTCCAGTCAACCAACTTCGCAGGTATTTACATTCTCTTGTACAATTATTTCTAATCTAAAAAATTATCTTAATTTTTATCACAATCATCTCATTACTTCAATATACTGTAAAACACAATAGATAGAGATGCCTGGCGTAATGATTTATATACAGCGTTTATCTTTTTAAATCATTATAGATGCCTAAAATAATGATTTTTGTGCACCCCATTTTCTCCATAACCATCATTTTTATTTTCTTTAAATTATTACAGAATGATCAATTTATGTATCACTTACAAACACAACTTATAAGATTCTGTGAGAGCCATGCTGCTGAAGTGTTTTTATCCACACATGAAGAGTGATCATCTCAACAACAGAACAGTTACTATAATACAGTGTGATAATGTGGTTATTAATTTAATAGTAGTTTTACGAGAGCGAAATTTTCAGCTAAGAGGCAAGCCATTGGATTTGATTAGTCAGTAGATACAAAATTCAGTAAACATTAAAAACATAAGTAGGTGCTTAGAGACAATTCCAATTCTCACAATAAATATAGAATTCTTAAAAATTAAATTAGGCAAAGCCTAACAAGAAAAGAATTTTGTAACACAAATGCAATAAACAGAATTGTAAGAGTAACAGCTGAGAACAGTCAATCAAAGACAGCGCAAAAAAAGAAGAGGGGATTATTTTAATCCAATTAAAATGTTAGTTTTTAATTAAGAGATGATTTTGCTGAAAATATGCTGATTTTTTAAGTTTATTTTAAGGTTAAATTCTGTTTCAAAGTTAATGTTGATAGAAATAATAGAAACATTATAGAGAAGCTTAATGTTAGGTTTACACTATGTTCCTGATGGCCACGGCAGCCACGTTTCAGACCACTGGGAACAAAATGGGATGGACGTGAATGGCAGTCACTGCAAATGAGAAACCTAGTAGGCCGTAGTAAAATGGGGTGAACACAAAAAAACGTGACAGTATGTAATAGGCCGTAACAAAACTTGGAGGTGGTCCATAGTGGGACGGGAAGCATAAATAGAAAAAAACGCCACAAATAGAACAAGAAGAAGCAATCGATGAAGACCAAAGATCTTATAAACACAAGATAGCGTTCTCCGCGATTTACGCGTGCAAATTATGTAATAAGGCATGAATGGCGCCCTCTTGCTAAATTGGAAACTTTTGACCCTTGACCGCTCGACTTTACCATTAGGGTATCAATCCTGTGAACAGCAGAACAGGAACCATCTTCAGATCCATGGCAACAGATAGGACGCCCTCTTCCAAAGCTGATTACTTTTTCTCTTTGGTATAATAGCGCATGAATGGCGCCCACTTGCTAAATTGGAAACTTTTGAACCTTGACCGACGCTTCTATTTGTTACGCGTAAATAGCGGAGAACGCTATCTTGTGTTTATAAGATCTTTGATGAAGACCAAGCCGTGAAAGAAGGCAAGGCGCTGCCACCGAAAAAGCCATGACGGAAACTTGAAACAGGGAAAAAATTGCCAAAATCCCACAGTGCACTACGTTTTGAGTAAATGGAGCTGCCGTGGCCACCAAGAACATAGTGTAAACCTAGCATAACCAGCTATAGTAATCGTGACCTCACTACTGGTCTATGATTACAGCCCATAACTATACCATGGTCTAACCAGTTAGCCGTCTTAAATTTTATAGCCTACTTGGAAGAGGCTTAAAACGGTCTAAAATCATTTTCATCATGGTGTTACAGGTACTAGACCTAGATGATCAAAGACTGAGAATCCAATGACGAACATTCTGCAAACTTCTCAGCGTTTGTAAAAACCAGTCTTACCTTATTTACATTGCGATTGTGTCAAGGAAGTGTGATATATATCTAACAGTGCCCTCAATTTTATGTTACCAGCGGTCTTAGTGGAGTGACTTTAATAAGACCATCTAAATGATAAAGCCGGTTATTAAAGACTACCAGTTAAGACCATTTTACAGCAATTTGCCCTTAAACACTTCCTTTGTTGAAATGATTAACATTGTTCTCATGTTTGCTATTAAAAATACACAGGATTTTACATCTTATAATGTTAATATTAGTGCAATAGGTTACCAATGTGGAATGACCAAATTAATTTATATGATGTTCAGTATAAAAGTACTATAATTATCAATAAAATATCATATGAGAAATACTTTGAATATGTTGAAAAACTTAGTTTCTATAATACGATTATTTCAAAGCCTACGGACACAGTGCAAAACCGAGGTCCTCATTATCGTCGGGAAAACAGTCACAACATAGATTATCAAATTCTCGACAATGTAGCAATTGAATGGAATCCAGGCTTCACACGAACTGTACTTCTAATGCTTATGCTCAGTGGTTGCGAATAACACGATTTTATTGATCTTACCTTGAGAGTCTTACCTTTTTACTGTATTAGTTTCAGTTCAGTTCAACTGTATTTAGAGTATTCACGGAAGCCCAGATCAACACTAGGTTGTTATTTACATACACTTTTATTGCATACAAGATATTTTTAGAACAAATATACGTATGTGTAACAGTATTTTTGCGTACCTGAATTTTTTTTTCTTTGTTATAAATTGTTGGTTTTAGGCCTATTAACAAGGGTTGGAGGAGCCACTGGCTACCAGATTGTCGTCTCAAATCTGCACTTTGTTATTAACACCTCAGTTAAATACTAATCCTGTATCTTTAATCCTTTTAAATCCTAAATTTTCGGGTCTTCCAGGAGCTTCGTCTTTGGACCCCCCTCCCTCCGAGAGCACCTTAAATGCCCCACGTTATTAAGTACATTATTGTGGAAAGTCTGTGAATTATCTGTCGATGTACTAAGGTTTTGTTTGTTAATTAATTTGTTTGAAAGGCTAAATTAATTTTAGAGGTGATCTCATGGGCCAAAGGTCCGGCATGTTGAAAGCAATCGTTATACATCTGGATGAAACTTTTTGCTCTGAGATAGGTCTATTTAAAAAGTTTTTTGGCAATTTCAAATTATGCTTTTAATTGTACTACAGGCGGTCTGGTTGTGTCATCAGTTTTAATAGTCGTTAGCCAACTTTGGTGCGTAGCTTCACCAATGCAATTAAATTGATCACAATAAAAGCCTACGCTCATAGTATACTTTTTGAAAAAAAAAAAAAAATAAAAAAAAAAAAACGTTTTCCTTGAAAAAAAAAAAAAAATAAAAAAAAAAAAACGTTTTCCGCATTTTGTGTTATACAAACCTTTTTTTTTCTATCTATCTAAAGTAAAGAATGCTATTGACGAATCACAGTGAGCAGAACAAAACACAGACAGGCGACGAAAACTGGATATAATGCTATTATATTGTATGCCTCGCATTATTTGTAGGAAAATCGAAATGTATTTTTATGAGCACTGGGTGTGTTCTTTGGTTAAATTAAGTACGAACGTTATTGGCGATAAAACCCAATAGACGTATTGCAAAATAAGTTTAGTTGTGTTTACCTCTATGATTTAACAATGGGCTTCTTCTACCATTAGTCACAAATCATGCATCAGGACTCTGCAATCATTACAATTTTAGTATATCTAGGCCTATGATAAATTTTTGACTTCCTCTGAGTTGCTATGTGAAATATAGCTGATCTAATAAGAACGCGTTTTTGCTTCTTTTTTTTTAAAGCACACAATTTAAAACCACAGCGAGGGGATTGAAACCCTGACCTAAAGGTTTGGAAACTAAACCGTCTCCACTGCTCAAACTGCTTCTAAAATGAGACTAGATTTAGAGAGTGGTATAATACCGTCCTGCAATAACCGTAGTTTATAGGGCGTATGCCTATTTTGAAGGTCCACAGTGTACCGCACCATTAACATGTCATATGACGATGTATGTATTGATTATTTTATTAACAGTTTTTAAAGATTGGTTGCAGGCCAAATGGTGATTGACTATTGAACTTATTATTAACGCTTTATAAAAATGTAGTTCGTAACTATATTAGGTATGAACATCTCCACCGTTCTGTCAAATTATGACTGTCATCAGTACTAGGTCATATTATTTGATACTCACGAAAAAAAAAATCAAAGCTAGAACATAGTGACTGCTTCAGTTCACATCCATCATAGTCATCATGGATAAATTATAATAAGAATACAGTAGTTAGTATAGCACACAGCATCGTATTCTAAAAAATAATACCAGTTAATAGAACAGCCATTGTTCACAGTTCTCAAAACGCCGCAACACACGCATCGTGTAGATCTTTGGAAAGTGTTTTATTTTTTTTCTTACAAGGTACGTGATTTTTTTATTAATTACAGTACTAGTTTAATAATAGAAAGTGTTAAAGACATTCCAAAAGTGTATAAAACACTAGTAAAACCCTTAAAATTTTATAGTGTGTAGACAGATATGTCCTAAACCTATTTTCGCCACCCATTAGTAGTGTATCGTTGTCAGTCATGTAACCAGGGAACAGTTAAATTATACTGTTTCCTGATGTAACTGATCTTAACAACCATATTGCATTCCTACCGTCTTAACAAACACAAAACCTTAGTTCTGTAGGTATTTTAAAATATCGTTAACACAGAACTCAACAAAGCTATTTGGTTGCTTTTTTTAAATACGTAATTGTGGTTATTTAAAAATAATTAAATAAATAAACCCTAATATAGGCCCCCACGTTATTTTAACTTGTGTTTGCTGGGTTTGTTCTTTGCTTATGCTCGCTGAATGAATTTTATCTCCGGTCGAGGTGCCGTTCTGTCAACTCAAAGGAAACAGATTTCCCTCTTTTTAAACCTGGCATGCAGGCTGTTTAATAATACCTCTATATGTAGTACAATGATGTTTTTTTCTTACTGTGGTATTAATCTGTTTTTTTGTGTTCATATGCGTCATGATAATGTAATTCCCATTAATGCTGTAACAACAAATGACAATAAAGAGAATTTGTACTCATATATTTCATTTATTTAGGCTATTTCAGTTTGTAGAGTAATAATCTATCATGGAATCTCAACACACGTCTAAAGAGATCATTGATGGTATAGAAGCTGTAGTACTTGAATGCTGTTTATGTATGGGGCGATTCTCAAACCCAAAGCTACTGCCGTGTATTCATTCGTTCTGCCTTAGTTGTATTGAAAAGTGGGTGGAAAAAAACGATGGCGAACTCAGTTGTCCAACATGTCGTGAAGTTAGTCAAATCCCAGCTGGTGGACTTCAAAAATTGCAGAGCAACATTTTTGTCATCGGATTGATGGATTATGTAACTGCACTGAACATTAAGACGGTACCAAAGTGTGGTTGTAAGAAAGAGGCAGCATTTTCGTGTCGAGATTGTGATGAGCTGTACTGTGGAGATTGCAGAGATGCTCACGTAAGGATGAAGATGGCACGAGATCATTCCATCATCACGTTGAAGGAGTTCAACGCCATTGATCCTTTGGAACATTTTGCTTCAAAACCTCTTAATTGTTTGGAGCATAAAATGCCACTTCAGTTTTTCTGTGAAACTGACAAGATACCAATTTGTGTCGGATGCACACTAGTTAAACACCCTAGAGGTCATGCTCATAGTATAGTTGACATAAAAACTGGATTTGAAGCATTCACAACACATTCATCACAACTCATTGAAGAATCAGATATGAAATTACACGGCTTTCGCCAGATGGTAGAACAACTGAAAGAGAAAGAGGTAGTAATGAGTGAAAATTATACAAAATGCGAAACAGATATTGCAAGACAAGCGGATGAGCTCCACCGACTGATAGATTGCCATAAAGACGAACAGCTGCAAGATCTGAAAGATTCTCATAGACAAAAAGTAAAATTACTTGAAGCACAAGTATGCCACGTGGAGTTGGCCATCGGTAAATTATCGAGTATGCGTGGAATTACACAAAACCTGGCAAAAAGTCCCAACCAGGTTATGGCACTGATGTCAAGTGCTAGGGCATCAGAAAAACTAGAAGAGATACTGAAGGATGAGGTCAGTGCAGAGCCTAAAGAACTAGCTGTCTTGGAATTTAATGCAAATCGTAGATTATCACACTCACTGGCCAAAAATGTCGTAGACAGACTAAGTGGTCAAGAACCTCGCATTTCACCCAATAAATCAACGTTTAATTTTAGTGCACCATTTTCTCCGCTTTTGGTAAATACTAATAGACCTATTACTATGTCGGTAACAACTCGAAATTTGTTAAATGAAATTGTGTATGTTAAGGATACAAATGTGAAATGTTTAGGAATATGCCTAGATGGTTTGTACAATAGCAGTATCGTAATGCAAGAGATTAGTGTTACCGACAAACAAAATGGCTGTTATGAAATTTGTGGTAGGTATCCACTTCAGAGGAGTACATTAATATGCCTGATTATTGATAGATCTGATGTATATGTCAATACTATACAATTTGATGAACTTGGAAATTGTTCTGAGCACAGGAATCACTTTCAACATCTTTTAAATTCCTAAAATCCTTTTGCCTCGCCAGCAAATGAATCTTACTTGAAAACTTACAAAATATACATTTATTTTAAGATGACGGTATAATAATGATACTAGGATTATAATTGTGCATGTAAACGATATGATAATTATGTTTATTTGATAATGATAATAGTAATGATAATGATTATGAAAATGTTGGTCATAATAATAAGTTAACGATAACGAAGGCAATGTGTTAGGCCTAATGATATGATATTTGTAATGATAATAAGTAGTGATAGTGTTACTAATGGTAATAATAATAATATTATTCATGATTCTTCAATGGTCGATAACAATTTTGTGTTTTCGAAGCCCCTCATCAAAAGTCGTACACGTTAAGGTATGCTCGTTTGTTAAAAAAAAAATGCATATATTTTCACAAATAATAAATTTTATTATCTAAATTATTTTTTTAAGATGGAGTGAATAAAAAATATATTGAATTCACTGTAATTAAATTAAATTTAACCCTATAATAAAACCTGTGCCGACAGTGAATTGATTCTCTACTTTCAAATGCTTATCGGTGCTTGGTAATACTTTCATTTTTGTTTTGGGCTGATAGTGATCAGGAGTAGTGGTAATGATATTAGTAATAATGATTGTAATTTAAATGATAAATACATTTCAAATAATGGTCACAGAATGGCAATCAGCATAAATATTTTTAAACTTTATTTTTAAATTTACGTAGAATTTTTATGTAAAAATACGGTTTTTGCATTTGCGATTTTGGTACATAGTGGTATTGCTAAAGTTGACATAAGCACTTCTATACATGAAGCATGCAGTTAACCTCTATATTATTATGTAGGCCTAGGCCTATATCATGTATATGTACAGGTATAGTTTATTATGTATGAGTGAACTGGTTGTATTTTATGTTGTAATGTAAGACACATCATTTATATACACTCTTGCTTATATCGAGGAGGGCGTATCCCCATACTGCGGATTGGGTGCTGGCTTGGGGTGCTTCTTTCCTTGTTTTTCCAATTACATCTGTTCACTTGTTTTTGTACATAGAGACCCTAGTATTTTTGCGCGGTGTAAGTGTAACCTTTATTTCCCAGTTTGTTAGATAGAATTGATGCTTAAAATGATTGCGATTGTATCACGATTTACTCATGTATGCGGAAAATAAATCGTACGATAAAGAAAAATATACGTTGGTGTATTTGTTGCGTACCTGGATTTTCAAAGAATTTTATGACGTGTTTATTGTCACGTGAACAAGCGCCTATTGAGGTCAGTCGTAGGGCTGATATAAGAGACAGTTTTCTTACTGTGGTATTAATCTGTTTTTTTGTGTTCATATGCGTCATGATAATGTAATTCCCATTAATGCTGTAACAACAAATGACAATAAAGAGAAAAAACATTAATAAATATTTTGACATTTCGTTTACATATTATACACAGGCATGTTCTCTTATGACGATCTGCAGAATTTGTAGTAGGACGTCGTGCCGCAAAGTTGTCTGCTTAGATTCCAAATCCTGAGAATGGAGTGGATTTCGGCCGCCCCGGCAAGGGATTACCTAGAATTTTCTTTTCTGTTTAGGAACTTCGGTGTGAAAAGCTGTAAAAGTTACATAAGAAATTCAATTCAGTGTCGTGTCACCAAGAGAATGTTTAGATTCAGACGCAGTGTAGCTAAACGACGCATGGCTTGGCCTATCATACAGAAGAAGTCAATAAGTACTTCACGATCAAACCAATATGCCTGCATACCAATCTTATTGTCAACAATTATTAGATGTATTACGCATGATTTGGTGCGTTTTAGCCAAAAGCAAAAAGATAACGCTGAAATTAACACAACGAAGTAAGAAAACAAAATCTGGCAAAGTTTATCTGCATTTCAAGCATATACGAAGTCATTTAATTCTAAGGAAACATTTATTTTCAGTACCACAATGTGTGCAGTGATACAGAATTCAGTAAACATAGTAGCAGAATAGTTGTCAAGGGTGAAATTTTGTAGTTTTTTTTTTTTCAATGCTGAGGAGGTGTTTTGTCTCCATAGGCCTACGCCTATGCAACATTTGAAGATTGATGTTTACTTTTAAATTGCGTGTCTTTAGTCAATTAATTATCTGGCAATGAATAATTGGAATACCTCTCAAACAACAATTAAGACGTTGCAACTTTCAGAAACATTGTGTGCCTAAAATGTGTGGAGATGGACCGGAGTTGGTCCCTCAAAGTCAGTTTTCTCACACTGACGACCCAATTGAAACCTAGGGGAAGACATATTTGGTATTTGGTACCTAAATCCATAGTGAATTCGGCCTCCCAGCCATCCATTGTTCACCTGCTGCTCAGACGCGCCGTCTCTTATGGAATTTGGAAAGAAAAATAGAGCCATATCTACCCTTACGTATGGAGGAAAGGCTGAATTTACAGCCCAACAAATACAAAACGTTCCTCTTTTTCTCTCTCTAAAACTGCGGTTAAAATTATATTACCTAGTAACCATCGGGTTGTACAAGATAATGTCCTTTTCAAATACTTTATACAATGTTTACCTTTTTGTAATTTTGTTCATGTACAATAGCATAAAAGAACATATACTAGCAGATACACAGATACAATTTTCTAATGAGCTTAAAATTGCATATATTTTTTTTTTTCATTTTGTTTTTGAAAGCTTTTTGTTAACCTATATGATAACATCATAAATCAGTTCATTTTTTAGTTTAATATATACAGCAAAAATTAAAATACAATTATATATCATAATCATAGTAATAAAATATTATTATACATAGCATATAGCGTCATAATGCTTATACTTAGTTGAGCTTGTAAATTTCAACTCACCCTCTGAGCAACTGTCTCTTATACACATCTAGATGTGTATAAGAGACACGCGAACGTTCAAACGTTATGTAGTTGTGAAATTACGTTGTACGTATTATATGATTCTACAAAACAGCATTTTCAACACCAAACTGTAACGTTATCATAACGTTCTTATAACGTAATATTTTTAGCTGGGAGAGCACAAAAAGCCTATGTAACAGTAGTTAAGTAGTTGACTTCTCTCACAAGTATAATGAAAGCCCTGGTTCTTAATTTTTTAAGGGCCAAATTAGTTTAGAGTTGATCTCACTGACCAAAGATAATCTTCGCCGAGTTAAAAGCAATCGTAATACATCTGGGTGAAAAACTTTCCGCTTAAAGGTATATTTGTATGTTTTTTTTTTTTTTTGTTTTTTTTTTCTTTTTTTGCAATTTTGCAATCTTAATCATGCACCAGCGGTCATAACCCAATATTGGGTCGTCGCATGAAATTTCTGTGTGGACGTGTCATCATTCGTTAGTCTACTTTGGTGGGTTGAAAAATACAAAACGTTTTCCGCATATACATAGTACGAAGGTATGAAAATCAAAATGTATTTTTACGAGTACTGCCTTTTGGTACACCAAATTTTTATTACCCATGCAAAGTGATTAAAAAATGCTATCAAGGAATGACAATGAACAGAACACGAAATACAGAGACGGAACTTGGTGGCACTGAAGTCGGTGTAATGCTTATAGTGTTTGACTTAGTAGACGGCTATTGGCGGAACACAGTGATCAGAACAAAACAGTATGACTGTATGACTTGAATTATTTGCAGGACAATCGAAATGTACTTTTATAGGCACTGTTTATCGGTTCACTAACTGTTCATTAGGCCTATGTAAATTTGAAGTATAAAGTACAAATTTTATTGACGGAAAACGTACTGTAAATTAATCTAATTATCCTAACTTTTGTTGTGTTTTACCAGGATAATTTAACCATGAGCTGCTTCTACCATGGGTCTCAAATCAGGCATCAGGTCCCTGCAATTGCTATGTCAATTTTTTGATTGTTTACAGGGTTTAATTTCAGATTTGAGTTTGGTAACCGTTACATCATAACTCGTTTCATTTTTTTGCTGTTGTTTTGTTTTGTTGTCGTTTTGTTTTGTTTGTTTTGTTTTTTTCCTGCTCGTTTGAAGCACACAATGAAGAATAGAATTACGGAAATTACCCGATTTGGTCTTATTCATTCTATTTATCGTCTATATCATCTTGCTCATTTTGAATCTATCCCCGTGCACATTACTCAGGGGTTGCATTTTTGTCTTTACTCTATTGAAAACATATTCATCTAACTTTTGATATGTTTTTTAAATGTATTTTGTATTATATTTTTTCTCATTTTCCTCGGGCCCAATTAAGTTGCCTTGCGGGCCAAATTCGGCAAGCGTTCCGCCTATTAAGAACAGGGCTATAGGCCAATTCTCATCCTGTAATTGGTGCGTCCCAAGCATTATGATTCACGTGATACATAAACGAATAGTAAGGTGTGGCACCTGTTAAGTATAAGCAAATATGCTGCTCGGAGGTTCAAGGTTCATGATTTTTATTAAATGAATTTAAAATAAGAATAGTGCAGCCTGGCGTACTGTATCGTATTCAGTCAATAGAACCACCGTGGTTCAACATTTATTTCAGGTCAGGTACAAATCGTTTCGTTCTCAGAAGGTGTCTCGTTTCTGTTACTAATAAGGTACATGATTTTTACTGTATTAAATTGATTTATATATATATATAATTATTAAATAATTTAACATTGTTAACAGCTATCTTGATTTATATATACATACATACATGCATACATACTTGCCAAAAAAAATTGTTATTTGAGTCAGTTTATATATTCCATGTATACATTTAAAAGGCCGATTTTGCTACCCGAACTTATGTGTCGTCATAGATCTGATAATGTGAGTAGTAGCTATTTTTTTAGAACTATTCATTTATATTTAATTTATTTAGGCTGTTGATACGCAAAGCAGAATATTTCAACAACATGTCATCAATACGCTTTTCTAAAGAGATCACCGCTGGCATTACAGCTGCAGCACTTGAATGCTCTCTATGTACGAAACGTTTCACACACCCGAAGTCACTCCCGTGCATGCATTCATTTTGCCTTGAATGTCTTGAAAAACTGAGGAAAGAAAGCAACGAAGAAATAAGCTGTCCAATCTGTCGTGAAGTCTTTCAGGTTCCAACAGGAGGACTTAAACATTTGGAGGATAGTGTTTTCATCAACGGGTTATTGGACTATGTGACAAACTTGGAACAGAAATTGGCACCCACCTGCGTCTGTTGCAAGAAGGAAGCTGCTTTCATCTGTCAAGATTGCGGTGAGCTGTACTGTGGAATTTGCAAAGATACTCACAGAAGAATGAAGATTTCTAAAGATCATTCCATCATTACCCTAAAGGAATACAACAGCATTGACCCCGTGGAACGCTTTGCATCAAAACGGGTTAATTGCTCCCAACATAGTATGCCGCTTCTGTTCTTTTGTGATACGGATAAGACACCAGTTTGTGTTGGATGCACACAGGTACAACATCCCAGGGGTGAGGCTCATAAAATAATTGATATAAAGAATGCGTTTGAAACCTTCTCATCTGTTGCATCAGAGCTCATTACGTCATCTGATATGAAAGTATCCGATGTGCGCGAAAAGGTTGATGTATTAAAAAGAAAGAGGGCAGCGGTGAACCTAAATTACTCAAAATGTAAAGCAGACGTCATACGTCAGGCTGATGAACTACATCTCTTGATCTCTCGTCATAAGGAAGATCAACTGCAAAGGCTCGAAGAAACACATAAACAAAAACTGATGTTATTTGAAACTCAGGTTAATGAACTGGAATTGGCTATTGCTAAATTATCCAGCATGAGTGGAATTATTGACAACTTGACCAAGAGTCCCAATCAAGTTATGGCACTGATGAAAAGTTCAGATGCTTCTGAAAGATTGGATACACTTCTAAATGATAAAGTTAATACAGAACCTCAAGAATTAACTGTTTTATATTACAAGCTAAACAGTAGGTTGTCACAATTACTAGCAACTAAAGTTGTAGACAGGCTTCGTGGGAATGAAACGATTATTTCACCTAAAAACACGACCATTGAGATACAACAAGAAGGTGGACGCGCGAAGCTTCCTTTACTAGGTAACAAGTGTAAGCTGAATACAGATATATCTGTCAAAATTCGAAATTATTTAGGTGAGATGGTGTACAACATGGATGTAAAAGTAAAGTGTTTAGGAATAAATAGAAGTTTGCCTGACAAGATTATTATAGAAGAAATATCAGTTATTTTCGATTATGATGGGTGTTATCATATTCGCGGTGATGTAGCTTTTAATAATTGTACATTGATATGTCTGATTATTGATAGATCTGATGTATATGTTAATACAATTAAGTTTGATAAACATGGAATGGGCTCTACGCGCGAAAGCCACTTCACCAATTTATGAATTCTTGCTGTTCATTTCTCTCTTAACCTTGGTATCTACTACCAAAGATACTAGAAATACAAGATAGAATTCTCGCGTATCAAAATTTAAGCGGATATACGTCATGTCTGTTTCAAATAATGGAAATTTACGTAAGTTTATATCCAAACGTACACGCAAGTGTACCGTTGGATATAAACGAAACTTAGTACCGTTTACTCACCATGCAATTCGGTGATACAGTTTTTATCTGTGGAGAGTTCTATCTTGTTTTTTTTTTTAGTATCAAGAGATCAAGAGATGTAGTTCATCAGCCAGACGTATGACGTCTGTTTTACATTTTGAGTAATTTAGGTTCACCGCTGCCCTCTTTGCTACAAATTAATACTTCTACTACTGCCACTACTGCGACTTCACAGTGTGTGTGCTGAACAACGGAGATTTTTGGTTTCCAGTTCAATCTTATCCGCTGCTAGTTTTCAATTGTATTCTTACCACCAAAACCGCCCACAATTAATAATAAAGTTGCTTAAACGTTTTGTAATTAGGCCGAGACCTCTCTAGGCCTACTGAAAAATACTCAATGAAAACATAGTTTACTGTCAATAATCTATTTACTAGGCAAAATGTTTTAAGAAAGTATAATACATACTCCAAGTATTGAAATACACGCCATCGTGTTGGGATTCAATATTTCGACATTAATTATGTCATCATCAAAATGTTTTATGTCTGGCTGTTTACTTTGAGTTGTTTTTTATCAAATTTTTATCCCCACCGAGATCCAACCATTGTTTCCCACAGTATTGTAGTTTTTCAGTATATTGCCTTTTAATATATATGAAGAATATAATACTGAAGTATGTATGTATGCAACGGTTTTTTTTGTCACAATAGGATGTAGAATCACAAGGCCGCCGTATTTCTGTAATCAAAGGTTGTATCAAAGATACTAGAAATACAAGATAGAGTTCTCGCATTGTAAAATTGAGGCGGAAGTCGTGCCCAACGTAGGCGGCGCCCTTCTTTTTAACCATGCAAGTTTCCTATACTTCGTGCCCAACGTACAGGGCGCCCTTCTGTTGCTAAGTATATCCAGACGCAAAAGGCGCCCTTCCTTTTCCACTAATAGTGGAAAAAATTTTCACTAAGAGTGCGTCCGGCCATGCGATTCTGCGCTGTATTGTTGTTTTATTCTTTACTGATTCATGATTATGCTTTAATTGTTTTGTGTATTATTTGGATAATAGCAACGATTTCTACCGTTACCAAGGAGGTTATGTATTCACCGATGTCACTGTCTGGGTGTCTATTCCAGTTTGTTTTTATATCTAGTTCTTTGTTGAGAATTGATAATAAAATACGCGACGACTTGGTAACGAAAGTTTGGCACAAGTTTTTTTAGATCCAGCTGTAGGGGGCGTCCCATTTTTCGTATTCCCAACATGCATTTCGGTGGAACACTTTTTTTGTGTGGAGAACTCTATCTTGTATTTCTAGTATCTTTGGTTGTATTTAATAAATCCAAGAGTTGTGTATGTAGGTCATATTATATCTTATAGAAGATATACTTACATAAACATTAAATATAAATATGAATTACATGACTTGTTAACTTTAGTAAGTAAAACACGTTTATAAGGATTTTCACTACAGAATAGGAAAATCGGAATGACCCGTAGGCCTAATATACAAATTATATACAAAGTAAAAATTGTTTTTAGTTTATTAGCTTTATGAAAAAGTAAACAAATATTAGGTCATATATATCGTCTGCTTATTTAGTTTTACTGTTAAGTAAGTTAAGGATTTCCACTAGAGAATAGTAAAATCGGAATGACCCGTAGGCCTAATATACAAATTATATACAAAGTAAAAATTGTTTTTAGTTTATTAGCTTTATGAAAAATTAAACAAATATTAGGTCATATATATCGTCTGCTTATTTAGTTTTACTGTTAAGAATGGAATTTACTGTTTGGCTACTATACTGTAAAAATCAACAATTGTTTAATTAAATTTAACACTTTATAAAAATACAGACAATAGTCTAGCCCGCTTGTAGTGCTTGTTTATAAACTTTACCTTTAACTCTTTGTCATAGTCATGCGCATTTGGAACTAATAAAGGGCATAATATTTACAAGGAAATCAAATAAAAGAGAAATATATACTACAATTATGGATTGAATTTCCTGTTTACTTGATTAGGTTGAATTTTTGTATGTTGGTTTATGTGATAATAAAATAGTATGTAATAATTAAGCCTGTAAGTATATTTCTTTGTAACGGATGTAACTAAATCTTCTCTTGTGTGACTAATATCATTATATATATATATATATATATATATATATATATATATATAGGCCTATATATATACTCGAAAATTGATTTGCCTCACAGAATCAATCGAATAGTTCGTTGACTCTTGGAACATTAAACGTCAGTGTTCACACGAATACTAAATTAAAAATAAATTTAGTAGTCGCAGTGCGGGTTCGAAATGTTTGTTTAATAAAGTTTTATGTTCCAACGTCTAACATCGGTTTCTTCTGTGTTGCAAACCAAAACCACTGGACTTTACTCAAGGCGCAAAACTAAGAACCATATCGACGGTTATGACTGCACCATAAAAGTGGCTGTTAACAGTGGGAGTTGGTGTACAAAGCCTATTGACGAAAATTAATGAATTGATGAAACACAAATAACTCGAATTGTGCCACTGGATTCCTTCTTCCTGTATTTTGTTGAATAAAACAAAATACCATGTTTTGTCAATAGACTCTGAATTCTACATAGGCCTAGTTAATACAAATTCGACGTACCTAGAAAAAAGGGATATAGAAATACAACAATAGCGTACCGCTAGGCATACAGGCGGAAAACAGTTACGATGACTGGCAAAATAATAATGTGACTTGTATTTTTTAAGTAAAATATCTAGACGTAGGATTTTGTATTTCGATCAGTCATTGAAAAGCGACCAGCAAAAACTGACCACAACCCATTGATTATTACCTGATGAAAAAAATATAAACGACTGACCACTTCATTATCACACATACATAAAATAGGGTAACGATACCATAATATATGCCTGATAGTGCCTATTAAAGCATGTATCCATAATAACCCATAACCCATAATAACAAAGCTATATATACTTTGTTTACGGTGTTACGCAGCAAAACATAATTTGATATAAAATATGTTATTGGAGGTAGGTCTAAGTGCAAACGGGGTCATTGTACTCTCATGAAGCTGGCGAGTTATATGGCATGTGTCACATAGTACAAAAATAAAAAGATGAGGAGCTTTACTTGGTGTATGAAAGAGGGAAAAGTAGTAAGTAATTTTGAATTGTGAATATGTATCTATATGATCCTTGTTGAAATTACATATGAAAATATCGACTGAGAACAGGAGACAATCCCCTACTCTATTTGAAAAGTCTACTGAGTTATTTTTTGTACTTGTGTGCTATTTCCAACCAACGTCTTAATTTTCCATCTAAAAGACAAATAATCAGACAAAATTGCCTCATGCAAAGACACACAAGAAAGAAATGACATGTTTTAGTCAGTTCTCCTTACACTTATCCCGATACATTAACGTTGTACTAGTTTCCCCTCACTAAAGTGCAAAGTCTAATAAATTTTTATCCTAAAAAATATAAATCAAAGCAGAACCAAAGTCACTTCTCAAATTCGCAAGTGTCATAGACATTGATTATAATAAGAATAGTTTTGCACACCGTACCGTACTGTATGACTATTATGAACTCAATTAATAAATTCCAACAGTTAATAGAACCGTTGTTATTCAAAATTTGGTTCAGCTTTCCTGAACAGCGGCCCAAAGCACATATCGTCTCGATCTCAGTAGGTGTCTCGTTTTAGTTCTTAGCAAGGTACGTATTTTTCTTTGAATCTATATTCGTTGATATTTTACTTTTTCTAAAATCATTGTCTAGCAGATAGCTTAAACGGAGAGTAAAGAAAGTTTGGCACAACCTCAACTACATTAGTAGAGTGTTTTGTAACTTTTTAAAACAAACATGCATATCGAGCATGATGATTGAGCTTTAACGAATTGTTTGTTCTAGAATAATTAAATATATTATTTGCATACAAAAATATTTAGAGGAAGGACTAGTGTTATCCGAAAGCTCTTGTTTTATTTCTGGCTCTTTACTCACGTTAACAATTTAACTGATGCTTATCAAATACAGGGGCGGATCCAGATATGTCCGAAGGGGCGGGGGCGAAAGGGGGCCGATCGAGATAACACCACACTAGGGGTCCGGGGAATGCCCCACGAAACTTTTGTTTAGACGCCCGAAAAAAACTTCTGAGGCGTTTTAGCCGATCAATTTTTTTTTACTCTCCAAAAGAGAGGGGGGTTGCTTTTACCACAAATTTTATTACATAGCTTAGTAGGCTGAGTAGCAGAAAAATGATCTTGATAGTATGATGGATAAGCTTCAAATTGAGCAACACTCTCAATTAATTAGTATTATTTATTTATCTTTGTTTATTTTGGGTTATTCAGATTGCAGACTATTCTCTAGCCATGTCATCTTTATACAGACTTAGAAATATCCACCGGAATACCACCGGAATAGATGCTACTGCACTAGAATGCTTTTTATGTACAAAACGTTTTACAAACCCGAAATCATTACCATGTATTCATTCATTTTGTCTTGGATGTCTTGACAAATTGGTGAAAGAAAGCAACGGAAAGATCACTTGTCCAATTTGCTTTGAAGTCTGCGAAATTCCCACAGGTGGACTTAAAAAATTGCAGGACAATATTTTTATCAACGGATTGTTAGATCATGTGACTAAGCTGGAACAGAAATCGGCACCTACCTGTGGCTGTAAGAAGGAAGCATCGTTCTCATGTCGAGACTGTGATGAGTTGTATTGTGGAGATTGCAAAGATGCTCACAAAAGAATGAAGATTGCGAAAGACCACTCTATAATTACCATGAAAGAGTACAACACTATTGATCCTGTGGAACGTCTTGCATCAAAACCGGTAATATGCTCCGAACATACTATGCCGCTTCAGTTCTACTGTGAATCACACAAAATTCCCGTTTGTGTCGGATGTACACAGGTCCAACATCCAAGAGATGGTTCTCATGAAATAATAGACATAAAGGATGCATTTAAAGCTTTCTCTGAAAATGCAACAGAGCACATTGAAACAGCAGATAAGACTTTACTTAGTGCACGCCAAATGGTGGAAGCTTTGAAAGAAAAGAAGGAAGCGGCGAGCTTAAATTACTCAAAATGTAAAAAAGATATCATAAAACAAACTGAAGACCTCTACCGACTGATCCGTCATCATAAGGAAGAACAACTGCAGAATCTCGAAGAATCTCATAAACAAAAAATGATAATGCTTGAATCTCAAGTTAGCAAAGTGGAATCTTCTATTACTAAATTGTCCAGCATGCGTGGAATTACTGATAACTTGACAAAGAGCCCTAATAAAGTTATGGCATTAATGAATAGTTCCGTTGCTTCTGAAAAGCTGACTAAACTTCTTTTAGATGAAGACAGTAGACAACCTCAAGAATTACCTACATTGAATTATAATCTAAACAGTAGGTTATCGCAATCACTGGACAGTAAAGTTGTAGAGAGGCTACGTGGAGAAAAAACGCTTCTTTCACCTAATGAAACAACGATTGAAGTACACCAACAAGGTGTACCTTCCAAAATGGCAAGATTTCTAGGTGTTAGGCTGGAACATACCCTTTCCATAACAACTCGAAATGCGTTAGGTGATATTAAGCATATCATTGATGCAAAAGTAAAATGTTTAGGAATAGATAGAAAGTCGAATAACAAGATAATTGATGGTGTTACTGTTACAGATGAACAAAATGGTTATTACCATATTTCTTCTGTCACTCCTTTTACTAACTGTACAATAATATGTTTGATTATCGATAGATCCAATGTATATGTGAATACAATAGAGTTTGATAAGCATGGGAAAGGTTCTACACACGGAATGCAATTTAAACCATTTTAAAATTAGAAATGTTGTAAATGTCTTAATTACGTCCTCAAAGATTGTTTAAAATGAGGGTGTTCATTTCGATGAACATCTTACCATAAACTCGCATGATTCTGTATTTAAACAGTTAACTTTTACTTAAGAAATATTGCACGTAGACCTATTAGAAAATGCATTGCCCAAATAACATGTACTCCAGTCATTAGTGTTAATTAGACTTGATTACTGCAAATCCTTATTTGCAAGATTGATAAAAGTAAAGTATTCATCTTACCATAAAATCGCATGTTTCTATAATTAAACAGTTAATTTTTACTTAAGAAATATTGCACGTAGGCCTATTAGAAAATGCATTGCCCAAATAACATGTACTCCAGTCATTAGTGTTAATTAGACTTGATTACTGCAACTCCTTATTTGCAGGATTGATAAAAGTAATCTTAAAACCCTACAAGTGCAAAATCGGTAAGTAATAGTGCACCTTTGTATCACAAACACGTTTTAAATCAGATATGAACTTGGTAGGACCATGGTCTCATATCCTCCAAAGATGTTACATTACTCCTATTCCACGTACTTAGACGATTATTGCAGATAAATCTTTTTCAAATTTTGAACCAAATTTATGGAACGATTTTCCCCCTGTCATCCGTCTCCAATCTAATTTCAATTCTTTTAAATTCATTTACAATGAATTTAGCATCGATTGATGGAACTGCAGATTAACCTGGCTGTTTTCTGTTTCACATAGTTCAGTTTATGATGTAGGCCTACTTGAAATGTCTTTGGTTTGTGTTTTTATTGTGTTTTTTTTTTAATTATGCTTGTTTTTCGTGATGTTAAAGCTTTATTGATTAGATTGGACTGGATTTTAATAAGATATAATAATTAGAGTATTTGTGTAGAAAATTGAAATTTTAGTCGGTTTTTTGTATACGAATAGATAATAATATTAATAATAGTAATAGTGTTCAATAATACTAAAAAATAATATAAATTATTAGTAATAATTAAATAGTATTAATGATAAACACGAATGATAATAATACTAGTTAATTGTAATAATAGTTTATTATACCGTGGTTATTTTTTCGATATAAAAAATATGATAGTACAATAATAATGGAAATAATAGAAATCGTAATCATTACAAAAATAATAGTAAGAAATATCTAGTATTAGTAATAACAAAACTCTCTGTACTACTACTGTACTAATAATAGTAGAGCTATTATGAAAAACGCTTAGTAACAACAATAAAAAATAATAGTATTATTGTTTGTAGTAATAGTTTATTATGCTATTATATTTTTGCGTTATAGATATAGAAATCGTAATCATTACAAAAACAATATAGTATCAGTATATGGTGTCGTAATATCTGTAACATGGTAAATAGTTTTAGTTTGTATGATATGGTAGTGATAAAGGTGGTGATAATTATATGAGTAAATGTAATTTTAATGGATAGGGTAATGGTAACGGTAATTGTATATGGTAATATTGGTAAATATGGTAAAAAATGACGATATGATAATGAAAATGGTAATGCTAATAATAAAGTTAATGGTAATGGTAAGTGTAATTGTAAAAGAAATGGTAAATGAGATATTTGTAACATTTGTATTATACCTTATAACTATTATAACTATTCTCTCCAACGTATAAGTAACTCTCTGAACTTTTTAGTTTGGCGCACATCGCACAACTTTTGCATAATATATAATATACATATATAGTAGAGAGCTATGCTTCGCGATGTATTAATACATCGCGTAGCATAGCTTTCAACGAATGTATTTCTGTAAATAAATGAATAAAGAAATTGTGTAATAAAATGCCTCTGGCAGGACTCGAACCTGCGGCCTCTCGCTGTCAAGGCGATTGTCATAACCATTAGGTTTTATGGTTGGACAGATTCAAATACCACCAGATACACTCCATTACACAATAGGTACGGCTAGAAACTATAGAGTTGTATATAATATAAATCAAGAAAGCCGTTAACACTGTTAAATTATATATAAATCATCAAAGAAAGGTAAATACAGTGTTCGAATAAAGGACATAATAATACATCGCGTAACACACAGTTCTCAACGAATGTAGGCCTGTAAATAAATGAATAAAGAAATTGTGTAATAAAATGCCTCGGGTGGGACTCCCTGTGACTTTTTTGCTGTCAAGGCGAGTGTCATAACCATTAGACCACGGAGGCTTCATAGATGTTCCTCTTTGAATGTAATGTTTTTACTTGTAACTAACCTTGCTACAAAGTAAATGATGGATTTTATACTAAGTTATATTAGTAAGCTCGACAGCAATAATTGCACTATAATTTATAAATGATAATAATTATAATAATATTAATAATAATGATAATAATAATATTAAATAATAATAATAATATTAAATAGTAATAATAATAATATAAAATATACAATTAAAAGCAATGTATGTCTACATGCATGATTTTTTGAATGTTCTAAACTCTACTTTTCTTGAATTGTAATTCTTTTATTAACCTCGATTGTTTTAATTATATTTTATACCTTGCTGTGTATTCTTTGTTGTATTTGAAATAAAAAAAATGAATTGAGAAGAAGAAAGATCGATTGAATACACCGTATCAGTATGGTGGATATAAATAAATCTGAATTATGTTTGTGGACGACAGACATAAGTTACACCTTACAGAATTAATGAAAAGACTGCATTATAGGCACTGTTAATACTGTAATCCCTCCGTTTGGCATAGCTCCACTGTCGGGAAAAAACACGATTCGTCGGGAAGAAAACATCTCACAGTCGAAGGACTATTCGCGAGAGATTACTATACGCTCTCATCGGGAATATCTCCCTCTTTAGCGACATTGAGCAAATCCTGCGACGTCCCCTGATCAAATCTCCTACAAATTCAAATGTCATAAATTAATGGTAAACAGTAAATTAAAGACAAACAGCAATACAGTCAAACGAATTTTATTGATACATGGGCTTTATTGATTTCAATAGGCTCTAGATTACACAGGTGAATGATTGGACTTTAAATTTATATACATAAACATGTAAAGCAAACAAACTTACGTCCACTTCTCTTAATTTCATGAAATCAAATAGCGCCTAGATCCCATAAAAGGTAATATTTTTTATTCTATTAACAAATTTTGCCACTATCAATCGCTAATTTTTAAAATCTTCTATAAAAGTGCACTTCAAACATTAACTATTGACATTTTCTGAATACAGCTCTATTTATAAAGTGAGCATAACGACCTTTAGAGCGCAGACTATCAAAACTCTTTGTTATTGAACACTGAAGAGTGACAATGTGTGGAGTTGAATGGCTCTATGGTTCAGATGCTTGCCTTCTGATCCCAGGATCTTCGGTTCAATTTTTGTGACAGCAAAACCAAAACCTCCACTCCCTAAGCCTCATAAGGAAAGTATCATTCTCATCCTGTCAGTGGCAAGTGTACTTGCTGTTGGATGTAAGGGATATAAAAAAAAAAGAAAAAAAAAAGACGAAGAAGAAGAATTTGTATGCTGAGCTTTAGGGTAATATACATGCAAAACTTTGACTTTTAAACAACTAAATAAAAAATAAATAAAAAAATGCTTTCGAATATCAGTACAAACCATAATGCAAATATCCACGATTGTTCATATATGTTAATTTAACTGTTCCCTGAATTAACATTAATCAATTAAGTAATGGTTAATCACGAAAATTGCAAAAATGATAATATCATAGTTCAATTTTATTCATAATTTAAAAAGTTTGGTATACATGTATTACAGTTGGTATCAAAGGCACTGAAATTTTTACAAATCAGTTTTATAGACTTTTAGTATTAAGAGGAAACTAGAAAGATGATTTTTTCTTGAGGGTATTTTTATTATGTCACTAGTAATAGAATCAACCTTATAATCGTTATTTGACATTTTTTTTAATGAAGTTATAGGCCATTAGTGTAACCAAAGATCATATAGCGCCGCGGCGCTATACGATTTTTGGTTACAACAGTAGAGCTTACACTGACTTCCCGATGCTAAAGAGGTAAAATCGTAATTGGCCTATAACTTCATAAAAAAAAAAAAAAAAAAAAAAAAAAGGCTCCCAGCGGGACCGTGTGTCTCAGCGGGA